TCTGACAAAATTGAATCTATAATTAAAAAATTTGATTTTTGGAAGTTATGTATTAAAAATAGTCAACCTGAAGTATTTGAAACATTGCACAGTTTCTTATCTGAAAACAAATTACGACTTTCTCCAGAATTAAATCAACAAATAGTTGAACATTTACAAGGATTAAAATCGGATTTTCAGAAATACTTTCCAAAACCTGACAACACAAACTATTGGATTCTAAATCCATTTGAAGAGGAATACTTTCAGGTAGCTAAATTATCAAGTAAGGAAAAAGAGAATTTGATCGAAATTTCAACCGATTCGATTTTAAAATGCCAATTTAAATCAAAATCTCTTTTTAACTTTTGGGCAGACATTAACAAAGAATTTGAGCTACTTTCTGATAAAGCACTTCAATTTTTGTTGCCATTTACAAGTACTGTGCTTGTGGAAAGAGCTTTTTCTTCCTATCTGTATATTAAAAATAAGTATCGCAATAAGCTGAAGGCAGTTCCAGATTTGAGATTGTACCTCGCATCAGTCGAACCTGACATAAAAAAATTATGCGAGAAAAAACAAGGACAAGGCTCACACTGAACTCCTTTCATACGAAATTAAATACTTTGAAGTTAGTTTTTTGTGCAATTTTATTTTTATTGTAATTTTTATATTTGTATTGTAAATGTGTTTATTTTTACATGTATGAACGTAAATATATTCTCTTTATCAACATTATAAATTAGTTTTTTTAAATTAAAAGTTACAACATGTAAAATTAACAATACGATTACTCACTAAATTTCTTAAATGAGGGGTACAATATAGAGAAATGACATGTCACGGGGTACGCTAATGAAAAAAGGTTGGGAACCACTGTTCTAATATTTCGCAGGAAAAAGACCGAAGAACAAGAAAATATTGCACGACCACAGATAAAAAGTTTACCACCCGCAATTGAAATATAACATACAATGTTTTATGTGTCGAATACACTACATGAAATCGAGCAGAAATGAATATAATTATATACAATTATTCACTAAATTACTCGATATTTTAATGTATTAATTGATACATGTTTCGCGGCCCATCAGTGGCCAAGCGGTCTTCGTACCTTAAACACGGTGTTCGGTCGTGAATTCGCGCCTCGTTTGGTCGGGCTGATCACGTGAAGTTATCCGTGTTTTCTCCACGTCTGTAACGCCTAAATAGGGGCCAGTTTCCCTTAAAAAGATCCGTTGAGGAACACTCACCCAGAAAAGTTAGTAGAAAATCTTGGATTGGACAGTGATTCAGCTGCCGGCAAGACCCTGATCCAAATTTGATCATTCAGATGAAGTGGGCAACAATGGAATAAAAAGATATTTGAGTAAAGATCACGGAGACGAGCTCGTCTTCCTCGCGAGTGCTCTTTGTGCATCTTTTTCTGACATACTGCACAGATCTGGTAGAAGATTCCTCTAATATCGATAATGATCTTTGACAGTCAATGACTTAGGAATTACTGTGCAACGAATATAACTGACATAAAGAACAAAGAACGTAGGGACATCCCCAGAGAAAACATTAATAGAGGTAATTATCCTCGCGCGATTCAACAGTAAACTTTCTCTGTAAATTTTTCGTCCGATGGAGATTATTTTTTAATAAAATTGAAGACAGTCTGCCCAATAAAGGACCACCATTTATTATTTCCGTGTTCCAGACAATACACATTCTTGGCAACAGACCTTTCCTTTTAGGCTACTTGTTGCCAGAAGTTTAAAAAGTCCTTTTAAAAAACACAATATATATATCCAAGCAAAATGTGTATTGTCTGGAACAGGGAAATAATAAATGGTGGTCCTTTATTGGGCAGACTGTCTTCAATTTTATTAGTAAACTTTCTCGCTAAGATTCAACCTTGAATATGTAAATCAGGAACTTTCCCAGCTCTAAGAGCCCTTGAATATTCTTTTTAGTTCTGACGTTTGTTTTACCTGCTTAGTATTCCTATATATTAGTAATCGAATTAGGGAGATATTACAAAAAAACATCCTATAGAATTTAATGTATAATGCAGTAATTCTAAATGCAAGTTCTTCCTGGCATTAAATTACTAATTAATTCTAAAAAACCACCTACTAATGCCAGATGAATTTATTATGATGTAAATAGGATTGCATTTCAAACAAACGAATTATTTGTATTTTTTATTTATTTATATTACATTTGTAAGTATAAATATATTCATATGACAAATTAAACAGATGCAAGAACCGAGTATTAATCAACATTTTCTCTCTCCTTTAATTCCTAGCGATTCTCATAATACAGAACAATGCTACCACATGGTGGAGGCATCCCAAGCGTGAGCCTTAAGTTATGGAGCATCCAGAATCCAATTCAATTAAGCGAATCAAAGAATTTTTCCTCGGTAATACGACGAGTTCCATTCTGGTCCTGGCCAAATCTAGGATGAGATTAAAACACCTTCTGATTGACAAGAGGGGCGAAAAATAAAATACGTATCCTATATATAGAGTAATTTAATCACTAGATATTTCACTTACCTCCGATCTTCAACTATGTAGATGTATTTCGGGTAATATTATATTCTGAAATATATTAAAAAGTTAAAGGTACAATATATTAGTAAACAACTCCAAAATATTTCAATGCACGATTAAACTAACCTTATCTGAAGATGAAGCGATCAGTGTGAATGGTTCCAAGTAATTCATTGGTTCTTCGGTTGGGTCGGTGGAAGCACTCTCCTTGTTTATAACTTCTCTTATGAATACCGAATTAAGTTCCCTTCTCATCTTTACTGTAGATTCTCGATCAACTTTACTAAAAGTCTCAACATTATCCTCGCAGATAATAGAAAATTCCGATTTAAAACTGTGAACGACTCCGTGGAAATAAAGGCTGAAGTTTTCCCAATCTTCTCCCTTGAATAAATATCTTAAAAATTGAACGGATTTATGAAGATTTCTGTATCTATCGCCAAGGTCGGATGGAGGATTTTTACAAAATGTCTTTTGTATTATGACCTATACTTTAGTATGGTTACAGGGCAGATTTTTATCTAATTTCATCAATTCTTNTCATCACATTTGTTAAAACATATACTTGTGTAAAGGGTATCGGCACGTTTTCAATTGTTTTACGAATGGTTTTCTAGTGTTTGTTACTAAATAGTTACGGTACCCGATTTATCACTGAATAACATCCCGGAAAAATTCACTTATTAGACAAATAGAGAGTAAGAAATGAAGTACAGAATGATTAAAATTAACCCAGCTACGTCATACAAATCTCTCCCTTGTAAGTATAAGGTGAAAAATAATAGTAATACAGTTTCATGCTGGCAAACAACTCCGACATTCTTACATGGTGCAGTAAGAAGACCGTTTGGAGAGGTTATCGACCCCTTAGTAACAACAGAAATGTTATCAGTGTTATATAACAACTACAGAAGACACAGTTATTCTTTGTTCGCCCATTAAACATGCGAAACTGTTACGCCTGTTGAGTTCGTACTTAGTTTCTATCATTGTTCCTTAATTAAAAACGACATTATTATAAGATTGCTAGGTAGATTTTGTGTATGCTATTCTGTAAAGTATTAATTACGTCATCCGGACAGGCAAGTAAATAATGGGAAACAAAACTTTAATCGAAATTATGACGAAAGCAATGATTTACATTTTGATAATTTTGGAGAAATATGTAATATCGATTACCATTTATAAATAATGATAATGAATAAATCAGGGTAACACTAAAGCAAGAGATCTCCACAGATAGCTAGCTATCTGTTACGTCGACAGTGACGAAAGTATCCACGTGAGACATCTTAGACCTTTTGCGTCAGTTTTAACGTCATTAGTAGGGAATAGCCAATATCCACATAAAAATACTTAAATTAATGTTAATTCAGTAAGGAAAAAATATGTAAAGCATCTATTGTCCGGCTACTATCAAGCGACATCAACGCCCTGGTGTTGCTTTGGCGAATTGTTGAGGATGTCTCCGGGAGGACTTTCTATAGGAATTTGCCACAATTTATATGTCGGAGACGAGATTAAGGCTGAAAAAGTCCACAGACAGTTGGTAGACAACCAACCCCTGACCTAATGTTTAATTGTTTTATCTATACGGCCACTGCTGTGTCTTTCATTTTTATTGCTTTTTAAACAACTACGATACATAATTATTTTTAATTAAAATGTTCATTTATATTAAAGAAAACTATAAATATTAATATGCAAATTTACACTTCAACTGGGAACTAAGAACGTAACTGATCCAAATACATTATAACTTCTGTTCCAATTACGACGCTTCTTCCAGTGACGTAATCCCGTCGTAAACCTCAAGCTTCCTGTATTAAAAACTTTATATAAGAAGAGAGAGACGTTTCGTCACGTTGGTCAACATTTTTTCTCAATACCACGACGTTTAGAATAACATTAAGAAAAGAATTTCGTGAAGGCACTCGTCTACAGATGTGCTTAGGTTATCTCGACGCTATTGCTACACGTTACGACACTGGGCACATTGCCAAGTATTACAGCATTAAATACAGTTAGATAAGTAACCCGGTGTCGTGTTTGTGTGTTAGGTATCATCGAGTGGGGATTGTCCTGGTGAGTATACGGATAAACGAACTCCAGTTGGGTGTGAGTAGAGTAAGTTCTTTATGATTTTCGAGCGTTGCATGATCCTAAAACTTCCTCCATTCATCTATAGCTTTCGTGGCGTCTTCTTTTCTACCTGTATTAATACACCTGTATTTTCCTCACTCTTTAAATTCGATAAGCTTAAGCAACTTTTTCGTTGAATTAGTAGCACGCGTAATAGTATGAAAATTTTAACCTGATGATTTTCGATCGACATTTGAAGTTATAATTGTATATTATAATTTAACCGATTTTAATGTTATAAAACTTTATATAAAAAGATACAAACATTGATTTTATAAATACATATTAAAATTAGAGTACGTCAAATATTTAACGATTATTGCGGGAAGAAGAGAATACACTAGGTACTGAAGAGTTTAGAGTTAACCTTCCATTAAAAATCTCGTAAGTACAGAGTAGTGTTGTAAAGCATGATGATGTGAAGAATGTAGCTGTAATCTCTATCTACAATTCAGTCTTTACGGGGTGACACCGCAATGAAATCTAGTACCACCTCAAAATCTTCCTAGGGCAGCCTCTGGTTCGGCCAGTGGAGAAAGTTTTCTTTTCAATCCGCCCCGGGGGCAAAAACTGTTGGCCACCCCTAGGTTAACGCATAGTGAAGAGCTTGTCACGTGGAGTGTACTGTGTTTTCTTAACCTAACCAAACACTTATATTGGAGTCAATTTCCAATGGAAAGTTCATTAGACATCAGCCCTTCCCTTTATTACTATTATTATTATTCTTTTAATTTCTAAAATACGTTAACATAAAATATGAAGAAATTTATTAGATTATGAATTCTCCAACGTTTTAAAGTGCGAAGATCGATTGCACGGATATAAAAATGGGAGAAGAGTATCGAACTACGACTGACGATTCTTCCTTTCAAGGTAATTATCTGTTTACTAATTACATATTATATTTAAAACATAATTGAAACGAATAAGATTGAAATTGTAATTAGAAGTGCACTTTGATATAACCATATTTTCTTCTCTAATTTAAGATTTTCTTCATTTCAGAGGAATTAAAGATCATTCAAGAACATCTAATGAATAGATACAAGACCAATTATGCATATATGACACATTTCCTTTGTAGTGAAGATAACAACTTTCCAATAGAAGAAAGTTTTGTGGATGTGAAGCTTCAAAACACCGATATTTTACGACGCAAAACTGGAGAAATTATTCAAATAAAAAACATTTTTCCTAAAGAAACTAAAATGCATCGGACAGTTTTGATCACAGGAGATCCAGGATGTGGTAAAACGACCATTTGCAGAAAAATCGCATACGATTGGGGAAAGAACAGAAAAAGTGATGATTATTTAAGAGAATTTGATGTTGTAGTGTTAATTGAATCACATGAATTAGGAAAAAGAGATGTGTATAATGCTGTATTCGAATACATGAATAAAGACTTCCACTTCACGAATACGTTAAGAGAAACTACGTGGAACTTTCTGATCATTTTAGACGGATTTGAGGAAATTATCTATAAAGAATCATTAAAAGATTTCATATCAGTCGATTTGTTCTTCATTTCTCCAAAAATGACAGTTGTTGTTACGACTCGTCTACCTATCGCAGATGAAATTAGTATACACTTCGACAACCAATATTGCATCGAAGGATTCTGTTTAGAACAGAAAGTAAATTACATCGACTTAATGATTAAAGAAGACAAAGATAAAAAGGATTATCTCACCAATTTCGTAAAAAACGATGCTTTCGAATTAGCACAATGCCCACTGATGTTGCAAATGTTATGTTTCCTTCCTGACAGTACTGTTTACAGAGACATAAAGACAACGACTGATTTGTTCATTTCCATTTTTCATGTTATTATACAAAGATATAAAAGAGAGAAAGAACACAATCAAACACTGAAAAGGGGAACATTTTTTGATGGAGAAGATTTAATCCTAAAATTAGGAAACTTGTGCTATATAAAGGAATTTCAGCAATTCAATAAGGACGGTGTTTCAGGTACACAGAGATTAACAGAAGAAGATTTTCGGAAAAAGTTCAGTGATGATGATGAATACCAATTCATCGTTGGTCTGGATATATTTAAGAAAGGTTCGGGTAAAAACAGTGAACAATATATTGAATTTATTCATAAATCGTTTATGGAATTTGTCGTGGCTTTTTACATTTTTCATTCCATGGACACAGTTACGATTCCATACGTACGTGGTGTTTTGTTATTCATTTTGGGTTTGTTTAGAGACGATCCGTTTACAAGAAACTTCTTAAATTTTCTCAGAAAAAACTTCTTTCATCCCGTAACATGGAGGAATTTCTACAATGAGATTAGAAACGAAAACAATAGAGAAATATTTCAAGAGGAAACGAGAATTGTCTTTTATTACGATTGTTTCGACGAATTATTGAAATTCTCAACTACTTCTGAGCTCAATCCAATATACATTTGCATACCTGATCCTTTTGATATTTACGAGTCATTTAATATCTATTTACACTTATACCCAGATTTTCATAATCCTATTAAAATCTACAGAAACACGAAAAAAGAGTTGGTTAAATTAGACAAAAATCTGCGCTGTAGTTACCATCCTAAAGTATACGTCATAATACAAAAGACATTTTGTAAAAATCCTCCATCCGACCTTGGCGATAGATACAGAAATCTTCATAAATCCGTTCAATTTTTAAGATATTTATTCAAGGGAGACGATTGGAAAAACTTCAGCCTTTATTTCCATGGAGTCGTTCACAGTTTTAATTCGGAATTTTCTATTATCTGCGAGGAAAATGTTGAGACTTTTAGTAAAATTGATCGAGATTCTGCAGAAGAGATGAGAAAGGAACTTAATTCGGTATTTATAAGAGAGGTTATAAACAAGGAGAGTGCTTCCAGTGACCCAACCGAAGAACCAATGGATTGCTTGGAACCATTCAGATTGATCGATTTATCTTCAGACAGGGTTAATTTAATTGTACATTAAAATCTTTTGTGTTGTTTACTAATACAATATGCAGTATTTTTACATCTAATATTTTACAGAATATAATATAACCCGAAATACATCCCTATAGTTGAAGGTCGGAGGTAAGTGAAATTAAATTATATACATTATAATTTATTAAATTATATACAGGAAACATATTTTATTTTTCGCTCCTCTTGTCAATTAGGAGGCATCTTATATCCCATCCTAAATTTGGCCAGGACCAGAATGGAACCCGACGTATTCCGGACGAAATATCTTCCGAAAAATTCTTAGAGTCGCTTACTTGGATTGGATCCTGGATGCTCCATAACTGAAGGCTTACACTTTAGATTCCTCCGCCACGTGGCAACATTATTCTGTATTATGACAATCGCTAGGAATTAAAGGAGAGAGAAAATGTTGATTCAGACTCCATTCTTGTATCAATTCGATTTATCATATGAATATATTTATACTTACAAAATGTAATATTTATAAAAATAAAACTAATTTGCATATTTTTGAAACGCATTCCTATTTAGACCGTGATGAATTCATCTGGCATTAGTAGGTGCTTTCTTGGAGAGAATTAAAAAGTTTCATACCGATTTAAAGCGAGAATTAAATTATAGAGATTTAATTATTCTCTTGGTTCACAAGTATACATTATCTTCTAATACAGCGATTCCCCACCTGTGGTACGCGTACCCCTGGGGGTACACGATAGGTTCTTTAGGGGTACAGAAAAAAGTTAGTTATTATGGCGGAAAAAATAATATATTATGTATCCCAAATTAATAGTATTAAAAAATTATTAGGTAAAAAATGTTCCTTGCAACAATCACAACTTTATTATATATTTCGAAATGCAAAAATAGAAAAAAAATTATTCTGCCGATTGTACAATGCAACAGATCAATAAATGTTGCGCATTCGGTCAATGGTAGTGGGGATACCATTATACGTGATTAGTGATTATGTTACGGACTTTTGATGATGGGGTGGTTACCGTTATTATTATTATCTCTCAACAATATTCCCACGTTGTTCCAAAAAGTATGTTTTTTGTTTATCAAAAATATTTTTTATTGTTAGCAAGGAAAAGGACATATAGCTAGTTTCTCCAGATTTTCCCTAGATATCTCGTTTCAGCATCAGAACGTTTTTCAAAGCAAATGGCGCTAGTTATAATTTTATATTAAAACTAACTTCCAAAATATAATTTGTTTTCGTTTTACATTAATTAATATATATATATATATATATATATTGTTTGTGCAAAATAAGAAAATATTTTCGGATGATACGATAGCCATGATTATTTTTTTCAAAAACGGGAAATTGTCGTTAGCCATCCACAAAAGTTCAACCCAGGGCGACACGCAACGGAGAGAAATTTCGAAATTAGGTACGTTAATTTCATTTTTGATTTATCATTAGATATGGATAAGTGGTTGAAACAAGAAACAAAAAAAGAGCTAACACATAATGTGGAAAGGGTTCAATTGGCAAATACCTCTCAAGACAACAGCATTTCGGATGTAAACACTGGAAAAGTCTCGAAAACAGAGAAAAACAGAAAGTACTGCAATGAATATATTAAATATGGATTTACTTATATAGGAAATGAAAACTGCCCTCAACCACAATGTGTAGTATGTGGAGATGTTTTATCTAATGGCTGCATGAAACCTTCCTTACTCCTACGACATTTACGAATGAAGCATCCCAATTATAAAAACAAGGAACATAATTTTTTTAAACGCTTGGAGCAAAATATGAGTAAATCGAGTTTGAAGCCGTACATCCAGTCATCTGACAAAAATCTCGAAAATGCCGTTGAAGCTAGTTACCGTATTAGTTACCGTATTGCTAAATGTGGCAAAAATCATACCATAGCTGAGAATTTGATTCTTCCCTGTATAAAAGATGCTGTTCGCTGTATGCTCGGAGAAGACCAAGTACCTAAAATGAACAACATTCCTCTTTCGAACAATACAATATCTCGAAGAATTCACGAGATGTCTGATGATGTTGAAATGACAACAATAAGCCGAATTAAAAATAGTAAATTTTTTGCTATTCAAGTTGATGAAAGCACAGATGTCGCCAATTTTGCTATTTTGCTTGTTATAGCAAGATATTTGGTCGATAACGAAATTGAAGAAAACCTATTACTTTGTCATCCTTTGTCAGAACGCACAAGAGGTGAGGACATTTTTAATGCTATTGATTCTTATGTCAAAGAAAAGGGAATTGATTGGTCTAACTGCTGTGGATTATGTACCGATGGTGCCAAGTCTATGTCAGGTATTTACTCTGGTCTTCGCAGTCGTGTAATGAAAGTAGCCCCGAACGTAAATTGGAGCCATTGCTGCATCCATAGACAAAATTTAGCTTCTAAAAGCCTTCCTCATAAATTGAAACTTGTTCTTGATGAAGCTGTCCAAGTGGTTAATTTTATAAAATCGAGGCCCACAAACGCAAGAATTTTCAAAGTTCTATGTGACGACATGATGAATCTTCATTCTACATTGCTCCTTCATACAGAAGTGAGATGGTTATCTCGTGGTAAAGTTCTTACCAGACTATTCGAGCTTAGGCATGAGGTACAAGTTTTTTTTGAAAGCAATCCTTTCAAGCTCTCATCCAAATTTCATGACGATAAATGGCTTCAGGCTCTCGCATATTTATCAGATATTTTTCTGCATATAAATAAGTTAAATTTGGCATTCCAAGATAAAACAACGATATTTACTGTGTCTGACAAAATTGAATCTATAATTAAAAAATTTGATTTTTGGAAGTTATGTATTAAAAATAGTCAACCTGAAGTATTTGAAACATTGCACAGTTTCTTATCTGAAAACAAATTACGACTTTCTCCAGAATTAAATCAACAAATAGTTGAACATTTACAAGGATTAAAATCGGATTTTCAGAAATACTTTCCAAAACCTGACAACACAAACTATTGGATTCTAAATCCATTTGAAGAGGAATACTTTCAGGTAGCTAAATTATCAAGTAAGGAAAAAGAGAATTTGATCGAAATTTCAACCGATTCGATTTTAAAATGCCAATTTAAATCAAAATCTCTTTTTAACTTTTGGGCAGACATTAACAAAGAATTTGAGCTACTTTCTGATAAAGCACTTCAATTTTTGTTGCCATTTACAAGTACTGTGCTTGTGGAAAGAGCTTTTTCTTCCTATCTGTATATTAAAAATAAGTATCGCAATAAGCTGAAGGCAGTTCCAGATTTGAGATTGTACCTCGCATCAGTCGAACCTGACATAAAAAAATTATGCGAGAAAAAACAAGGACAAGGCTCACACTGAACTCCTTTCATACGAAATTAAATACTTTGAAGTTAGTTTTTTGTGCAATTTTATTTTTATTGTAATTTTTATATTTGTATTGTAAATGTGTTTATTTTTACATGTATGAACGTAAATATATTCTCTTTATCAACATTATAAATTAGTTTTTTTTAATTTAAAGTTACAACATGTAAAATTAACAATACGATTACTCACTAAATTTCTTAAATGAGGGGTACAATATAGAGAAATGACATGTCACGGGGTACGCTAATGAAAAAAGGTTGGGAACCACTGTTCTAATATTTCGCAGGAAAAAGACCGAAGAACAAGAAAATATTGCACGACCACAGATAAAAAGTTTACCACCCGCAATTGAAATATAACATACAATGTTTTATGTGTCGAATACACTACATGAAATCGAGCAGAAATGAATATAATTATATACAATTATTCACTAAATTACTCGATATTTTAATGTATTAATTGATACATGTTTCGCGGCCCATCAGTGGCCAAGCGGTCTTCGTACCTTAAACACGGTGTTCGGTCGTGAATTCGCGCCTCGTTTGGTCGGGCTGATCACGTGAAGTTATCCGTGTTTTCTCCACGTCTGTAACGCCTAAATAGGGGCCAGTTTCCCTTAAAAAGATCCGTTGAGGAACACTCACCCAGAAAAGTTAGTAGAAAATCTTGGATTGGACAGTGATTCAGCTGCCGGCAAGACCCTGATCCAAATTTGATCATTCAGATGAAGTGGGCAACAATGGAATAAAAAGATATTTGAGTAAAGATCACGGAGACGAGCTCGTCTTCCTCGCGAGTGCTCTTTGTGCATCTTTTTCTGACATACTGCACAGATCTGGTAGAAGATTCCTCTAATATCGATAATGATCTTTGACAGTCAATGACTTAGGAATTACTGTGCAACGAATATAACTGACATAAAGAACAAAGAACGTAGGGACATCCCCAGAGAAAACATTAATAGAGGTAATTATCCTCGCGCGATTCAACAGTAAACTTTCTCTGTAAATTTTTCGTCCGATGGAGATTATTTTTTAATAAAATTGAAGACAGTCTGCCCAATAAAGGACCACCATTTATTATTTCCGTGTTCCAGACAATACACATTCTTGGCAACAGACCTTTCCTTTTAGGCTACTTGTTGCCAGAAGTTTAAAAAGTCCTTTTAAAAAACACAATATATATATCCAAGCAAAATGTGTATTGTCTGGAACAGGGAAATAATAAATGGTGGTCCTTTATTGGGCAGACTGTCTTCAATTTTATTAGTAAACTTTCTCGCTAAGATTCAACCTTGAATATGTAAATCAGGAACTTTCCCAGCTCTAAGAGCCCTTGAATATTCTTTTTAGTTCTGACGTTTGTTTTACCTGCTTAGTATTCCTATATATTAGTAATCGAATTAGGGAGATATTACAAAAAAACATCCTATAGAATTTAATGTATAATGCAGTAATTCTAAATGCAAGTTCTTCCTGGCATTAAATTACTAATTAATTCTAAAAAACCACCTACTAATGCCAGATGAATTTATTATGATGTAAATAGGATTGCATTTCAAACAAACGAATTATTTGTATTTTTTATTTATTTATATTACATTTGTAAGTATAAATATATTCATATGACAAATTAAACAGATGCAAGAACCGAGTATTAATCAACATTTTCTCTCTCCTTTAATTCCTAGCGATTCTCATAATACAGAACAATGCTACCACATGGTGGAGGCATCCCAAGCGTGAGCCTTAAGTTATGGAGCATCCAGAATCCAATTCAATTAAGCGAATCAAAGAATTTTTCCTCGGTAATACGACGAGTTCCATTCTGGTCCTGGCCAAATCTAGGATGAGATTAAAACACCTTCTGATTGACAAGAGGGGCGAAAAATAAAATACGTATCCTATATATAGAGTAATTTAATCACTAGATATTTCACTTACCTCCGATCTTCAACTATGTAGATGTATTTCGGGTTATATTATATTCTGAAATATATTAAAAAGTTAAAGGTACAATATATTAGTAAACAACTCCAAAATATTTCAATGCACGATTAAACTAACCTTATCTGAAGATGAAGCGATCAGTGTGAATGGTTCCAAGTAATTCATTGGTTCTTCGGTTGGGTCGGTGGAAGCACTCTCCTTGTTTATAACTTCTCTTATGAATACCGAATTAAGTTCCCTTCTCATCTTTACTGTAGATTCTCGATCAACTTTACTAAAAGTCTCAACATTATCCTCGCAGATAATAGAAAATTCCGATTTAAAACTGTGAACGACTCCGTGGAAATAAAGGCTGAAGTTTTCCCAATCTTCTCCCTTGAATAAATATCTTAAAAATTGAACGGATTTATGAAGATTTCTGTATCTATCGCCAAGGTCGGATGGAGGATTTTTACAAAATGTCTTTTGTATTATGACCTATACTTTAGTATGGTTACAGGGCAGATTTTTATCTAATTTCATCAATTCTTTTTTCGTGTTTCTGTAGATATTAATAGGATTAGGAAAATCATTGTATAAAAGTAAACAAACGTTAAATGATTGGTAAATATCAAAAGGATCAGGTATGCTAATGTATATTGGATTAAGCGCAGTAGTAGTGGTTAATTTCAATAATTCGTCGAAACAATCGTAATAAAAGACAATTCTCGTTTCCTTTCGGAATATTTCTCTATTGTTTTCGTTTCTAATCTCATTGTAGAAATTCCTCCATGTTACAGGATGAAAGAAGTTTCCTCTGAGAAAATTTAAGAAGTTTCCTGTAAACGGATCGTCTCTAAACAAACCAAAAATGAATAACAAAATACCACGTACGTATGGAATCGTAACTGTGTCCATGGAATGAAAAATGTAAAAAGCCACAACAAATTCCATAAATGATTTATGAATAAATTCGATACATTGTTCACTGTTTCCCTCCGAATCTTTCTTAAATATATCCAGCCAAATGATGAATTGGTATTCATCATCACTGAAAGTTTTCCGGAAATCTTCTTCTGTTAATCTTTGTGTACCTGAAACACCATCCTTATTGAGTTGCTGAAATTCCTTTATATAGCACGAGTTTCCTAATTTTAGGATTAAATCTTCTCCATCAAAAAATGTTCCCCTTTTCAGTGTTTGATTGTGTTCTTTCTCCCTTTTATATCTTTCTATAATAGCATGAAAAGTGGAAATGAACAAATCAGTCTTTGTCTTTATGTCTCTGTAAACAGTACTATCAGGAAGGAAACATAACATTTGCAACATCATTGGGTATTGTGCTAATTCGAAAGCATCGTTTTTTACGAAATTGATGAGATAATCCTTTTTATCTTTGTCTTCTTTAATCATTAAGTCGATGTAATTTACCTTCTGTTCTAAAGAGAATCCTTCGATGCAATATTGGTTGTCGAAGTTTATACTAATTTCATCTGCGATAGGTAGACGACTGGTAACAATAAATGATATATGCGAAATTATAAAGGTCCGCTCACCAGTTATGAAGTTTTTTAAGCATTGTTTATATTGGATTTCATCAAATCCATCCAGAATGATCAGAAAATTACACGTAGGTCTTCTTAGTTGATTCCTGAACTTGAAATGTTCATTAATGTAATCGAGTATATAATTATCCATATCCTTCTCAACTAATTCGCGTGATTCAATTAACATTACGACATCGAATTGTCTTAAATAATCACTTCCTGCATTCTTTCCCCAATCGTACGCTATTTTTCTGCAAATGGTGGTTTTACCACATCCTGGATCTCCTGTGATCAAAACTATCCGATGCATTTTAGTTTCTTCAGGGAAAATGTCTTTAATTTGAATGGTTTCTCCAGTTTTGCGTCGTAAAATATCGATTTTCTGAAGTTTTACATCCATAAAATATTCTTCTATTGAAAAGTTATCTTCACTAGAAAGGAAATGCGTCATATATGCATACTTTGTCTTGTATCTATTCATTAGCTGTTCTTGGATAATCTTTAATTCCTCTGAAATGAAGGAAATCTTAATTAGAAAAGAAAATTTTTGCAGGTATTCAAATTACAAATAGAAATTCTGTATTCACGAGTTAAAGAAGCCGTATAACCTTAGTGGCAGATCTAAAGTACCTAGTTTGCGCTGGAACGAACCCGAACAATAAGTTAAGCTTATGGCATTTTCTAGATGTTCTTTTTATTTATAACACATGAATAGGACTCGATTCAAATAAACAGTCTCCCGTGAAGTGCCTTCCGTTGGTAGATCTCCCCTCATTATTTAATTAAATGGCAATCTTCCAATGAAAATAAACTAATGGCTACTTGCTGATGAATCTGTCCATATAAACACCAAAGACTTTTGTGTTTATTTACACTAGATAAAAATCCCCGAAGAATCTTACGGGAGTGATTGTTTAAGATATTTCATGTCCAATGTCTATCAATACGGTTGGCCCATTGAGGGCTAGTAGAACATACAATGGGTCTAATACAACGTTTCTAATTTCATGTTTTTATACTGTAGATTATTATTAGTATAGAAAAGAGGAAATTCTTGAATACTGTTAACAAATTTGCAATGGCTGAGTACCCTTATACGCAGTTTTAGTACATTCGGACCATGTGTTTTAGGTTTGGAAAGGGGCTAATACTTTGATAATTTTCAAATATTTCTTACAATATCTATAGAACATACTCGTAACATACAAAACTTACATATTTTTGTGAGGTTTAAACATTTCTTTCGCTGATAAATAAATAAAATATGAGGATATCAAACTTCATTTTCCAATTCCAATCTCAATTCCATTCATTTTAACTATGTCTTAAATAAAATGTAATTAATAAAATAATAATTACCTTTAAAGGAAGAATCTTCTGTCTTAGTTCGATACTCTTCTCCCATTTTAATATCCGTGTAATCGATCTTCGCACTTTAAAACGTTGTAGAATCCGTAATATAATAAATACATACAATGGAAAATTGACTTCAATATAAGTGTTAGGCAGGTTATGAAAACCCACAAAACTCCACGTGAGAAACCCTTCACTAAGCGTTAAAGGTAGAAGAAAATACAGGTGTTATCAGTTCAGGTGGAAAAGATGCCACCAAAGATATGGATGAATGGAGGAAGTTTTAGGATCATGCAACGCTCGAAAATCATAAAGAACTTGCTCTACTCACACCCAACTGGAGTTTTATCGTATACTCACCAGGACAACCCCCACTCGATGATACCTAATTACTTATCTAACTGTATTTAAAGCTATAATACTTGGCAATGTGCCCAGTGTCTTAACGTGTAGCAATAGCGTCGAGATAAGATAATCACATCTGTAGACGAGTGCCTTCACGAAATTATCTTTTTAAAGTTATTCTAAACGTCGTGGTATTGAGAAAAAATGTTGAGCAACGTGACGAAACGTCTCTCTCTTCTTATATAAACAATTTAAAAAAAGGAATGTGACGTCACTTCCGATACGTTGTGCAACGTTCTTTACGTAACGACAAATTGTAGCTGTAAAGAAAAGCCGATACGAAAAAGTTTATACGGACGGATTAACGACAAATTTAAGCACGTGATATCGTGTTTTGGTGTTGCGGATACATCTTATACTTTACGTAAATTGTTCGGGAATTGCAACCATTATCAACGAAATCTTAAAATAATTAGAAAATATGTTTTGCAATTTTATTGGTTTAAATGTGTCGTTAGCGGCATTTAATTATTGGATAATAATATAATATATAGAAGTAATGTTTCTTATTATAATCTGACTAGCAAACGTAACGAAATACAGGAAGTTAGCAGTTTACGATGAGATTACGTCATTGGAAGAAGCGTCGTAATAGGAACAGAAGTTATATTGTGTTTGGATCAGTTACTTTCTTAGTTCCCAGTTGAAGTGTAAATTTGCATATTAATATTTATAGTTTTTTTTTATATGAATGAACATTTTAATTAAAAATAATTATGTATTGAAGTTGTTTAAAAAGCAATAAAAATGAAAGACACAGCAGTGGCCGTATAGATAAAACAATTAAACACTAGGTCAGGGGTTGGTTGTCCACCAACTGTCTGTGGAGTTTTTCAGCCTTAATCTCGTCTCCGACATATAAATTGTGGCAACTTCCTATAGAAAGTCCTCTCGGGAGACATCCTCAACAATTCGCCAAACCAACACCAGGGCGTTGATGCCGCTTGATAGTAGCAGGACAATAGTTTGGCACGTGTCCCACTATCGAACTACGTAAGATAAAGTGTAACATCTGGCCGAGGGATCAAGGTATTGCGATATCAACTTACGGTATTGAGGCGGTAGTTTTACCCCCCAAAAAACCGAGTTAATTTTCATCGGTAGTTAATGCTGAATGTGATGGTTCCCTCACACTTTCCTCACTGCCCTTGCCAAACTCTCCAAGGTTACGAAAATAGCCTTCTTTCTATCCATGAGGTGCAAATGTAATGACAAAATCTCAAATACGGTAAAGTAAGCAACACGAACCACAATGTAAAGTATTTATAAAAATCGTTTATATCATTAATTATTATAAAAATGGCAAAAAGCTGAATTTAGAGATGAGTTTGATTTAAAAGAATGTTGCAAATGCTAGTAACCAGTATAATCTTGATATGGCAGGATCCCATCGAGGTTTGAAAAGCGGCCCCTTTCTCACTACTCCCTCGACCTTTAACCACCAATATTTGTGCCTCTAATACACAAATTTCCTGCAAAATTTCAGAAATTTTCCACCATAGGAGCAGGAGTTATTACGCTTCAAACTGAGTAACAAAATCGTATGCCCAATATACACACGTGTACATACAGAACCTCTCGACTTTATGTGCAATTCTGGAGGTTTCAAGATTCGTTGAGTACAAAAATAAAGAAATGTTCGGGGTCATTTTTAGAATCCTCCACACGACGAAAACGGCAAATGAAATACTTATTAAAATTTTATAAAATACAATAATCAGCGGTTTTTTTGGGTCATAAAATCAATGGAATGGCGTTCCACCACCTTTCTTTTCCCCCCAAAAAAGCACTGACAATAACTATATTTAAGTAGAAAGTATTTGCTATTCTGTACTGGTGACGTTAAAAGATATTAAAAACATTCTTTAATTACATATTTTTATATAACATAATTCAATTAGATTATTTTTAAAGAATTTATACAGTGTTATACACAAGTAAAGTACAATACTTAAAGTACTAATCGGCTTAATGCTTAGGTATTTAATTTTATGTTATTAATATGAAATGGCACACTAATTAAAAGAATTTCAAATGTGTTTTGGAATGTAAGCACTTAACATTTATTGGTTACAAAATTATAAACAAAGTATTATAACAAGAAATTAGTTACACTCATTTATAATAATGTGACTGTGCAGAAAACATTACTTATGCATTAAATTTTGATTGATGAATGCTGATTTAAAGGTTTATGCAGGTCTAAAAACTATGCAAAGTCCTTTCAGTACAGTAGAGTCTCGAAAACTTGGCCTAATGTGGACCAAAGGGTGGCCGAGTTTGTGAAAATGTCGGGTTATCGGGAATGAGGTTAAAAAAAAAAGTATGAGTGTTTCCTCAGAAAATACTGTACTGTACTTGTATGTATTGTTTACTTGAGAATACAACAGAGAATAAACTGCCCAAATACCCTTAAACAAAAGAAAAGTACATCCTTTATGAAGGCATAAAGCCTTTACTACATGAAAATGAAAATTAATGAATACACTGTGTACAGTAATTTACTTGATAAGACAGACCTCAGAAAAATACTTTATGAGGCATAAAGCTGTCTATAATGTAAATTAATTAACTAAGGATTTTTTTGCCCTGCCAGGGTGTGGCTGAGTTATCTGGACTGCTGGGTTATCGAGTGCCAGGTTTTCGAGACTCTACTGTATTAAATTATCTCATTTTTACTGGATGAAGTAAGATGATAATGTGATCCATTTTTACTACTCAATTCTATTATAACAATAACATTGGCACTTGTTCCTTCTATTTTAATACTTTAAAATATATTCATACACATATCCTACATCTTTAAATGCAATTCTGCCAGTTATGATTATAAAAACATAATTTTCAGTAGAATCCAGATTATCCCAGGCAAACTTGAAAGTGAACCTGCTACTTTTCTTCTGATTTGTTTCTGTTACCTTTTAATATTTAACTTCAATGTGAAATAAAATAATTCATGTTAAAATTTAACTACAATACTATAACAGTTATTCTTAAAACTATGCTGAAAATACGCAAGATCTGTTTATATAAAAAATACAGATTGTTCCTTAACAAGAGCTTACACCAACCATATTAAAATTATAAATAATAACCCAAGTATCCTACAGCATAATGTGGATAATCTTTTGGATAGCATCTGTAATCGTTAATCTAAACAAGAATGTAACAATGTACTTTGAATTGATAAGATCTCATTCTGATTTTAAAACCATAATCTTATTAGTAACATATATAACCAATAACCTGTAAGAAGAAATTACAAGAAAGCAGATGTCTGCAGTTTTGTTTGTTTTATATACAGTCGACCCCCTATAACACTGTTGATTTTTCCGTTTTATATGAATTCCTTGTTGTACGAGTCACTTAGATTTTACAAATACGTGAGCCGTTCACACCCCGACACACGTATTTGTAAAACCTAAGTGACTCGTACAACATGGAATTCATATAAAATGGAAAAATCAACAGTGTTATAGGGGGTCGACTGTATTGTCTACTTGATTTTTTTTTATAAATAAGACTTATTATTACTGGTATAACTGACCTGACCTGACCTGAAGCAGAACAGTCAAGGTGTTCAAAAACATTCATCATTTTTAAGATAATACTGGTATTAAACTAAAGTTACTGAGATGATTACTATATACTGGTGTAATTTCTGATTAGTAAAGTGAGGAAGTGTTATTCAAAAAGTCCTATAGACAATATAGAAACAACAGAGTAAAATATTAAAGACATAAAAGTAAAAATAATTAAGATATGTGCAGTGTTTATTAACATATTCTGTTTTGAGAAGTTAAATTTGTAATGTTACTTTTGTCAATACAGTTAATAACTTAGATATTGTAGTAAACAATATATCACCTATATACATTATACTGATAAAATAATAAAAAATTTGACAATAGGTAAATGAATAGTATACAGAAACTGTAAATGCATTTCATTAAAGCTTGCCCTAGGCACCATTTCTTTGGCCAAATATTGAAACAATCATTTATTAGTGCCTACTTCTGTGGACTGTTGCTTCTAATACAATACTTTTATAAACATAGTCATTAAAGAAATTTATAAAATATATCTTCTGTTACATAAACATGCCAACTTATTTTTTACTGCTTCTCCTGAATTGCTTTTACACAAATTTCTCACAACAATCTTTCAAACATGCATTATATATATCATGCATGTTTGAAACATATGAATACATACAACATTAAACCTGTCCAATGCAAGAATGATAAACTTTCCTACATGCATAACCTGTCTATGTACAACAAAGATGCTGTCAACTAGTTGCAACTACTGGGGATATACAAAATACCAACAGTAGAGTACAGACTCAATGTAAGTTGGAATATATCAGATTCATCAGTTTCTCATTACAAGAAAAGACTTGAATATGATACTAACAATTGAAAACTGTCCACTGCACTGTCGATATATGTATCAGAAGATGATATACATGTTGATTTCGAGAACACATCCCGAATGTATGCATCACAAAGATTTTACATCATTGTGGCCATTGAAATTTACAAGGCTGAAATGAAAGAGAAAAGTAATGAGTGTAAGAAAATGAAAGACATTTATCCTTTGTAAGGCAATCATTATTTAAGAGATCATAACCTGGTGTTAAATATTAAATATCTTATTGCAAAATAGAGTTAAAAATGTCACTTGAACATCATTAATGTTTTTTTGTTAATTCTACCATAGTTTGTATATTGCTATTACTTTAATATTTCCGATGAACAACACCAATTTTTATATTTTAAAATGCATTTGAAGTATTGAGTATTTGAGATAGTTACAAGGAAGTTCTAATTGCATTTTGTTTAAAAAATATGGTACCTGAAGAAGATCCAGTGTTGGAAAACATTTATCCATGTTCCATCAATAAAATACACACTAGAGTTTATTTTATGGTTTTTCAGTTGATTTTGTGTCTCTAATCTCACCATTTGCCACTAATAAAGACACATCAAAATCCCATAGTTGCAAAATGGAGTTACACTGAAAGAACATCAGAATGTACTGATGCAGACAGTGCTAGTTAAATAACTTACATCTGAGGCAAAAGTTAGTTTTTCTACCTGTGATTCTGGAATAGTTACTAATAAAGAGCACTTCTAGTACTTGCACTCAAGTATAAACAACTTTAAAGTACATTTATAGAACTTTATTGTATTCAGTTTATTAATATTAACTATTTTCTTTTTCTTTTGAGCATTTTTGACTGTTCATTTTGCTAGTTGTGGCAGTCGCCTGACTTGCTGCTTTGCCTTATATGACAAGCCAACCCAGAAGGCAAACCAGTCAAATTTTTGATAAAAATGCTAAATATTATTGCATTGTCAAGTAGCACAAGAATGTTTCTTCATAGTTTATATTTAGTTACTCATGATATTTGCCTTTTTATTTTCATTATTCAAACTTCACTCTTTCTGTATGAGTTATAATTGTAGGAAAGAATCAAATATGGTGAAATTGCTTAAGTTAGCTCTTTTCAGTTTCATATTTTTTTATTTATATGTAGTGTATTTTAAGCTAAATGCCAGTCAGTTGTAATCAAAGACTTAGAATTGTTATATTGCAAGTTATTATTATGTTGGTTAAAGGTGTTTTTCTGTCAGTTTGGTTTCATCTAATGAGGTTACAACTAATTGTCTCTTGTATTATATCTTTATATTTTTGTAAATTTAACAATTGTAGTTATTATTAACAAGTCCAATATTATAAAATAGCAAGTCGCCATAATTCTTTTAGAAGAATTCTAATGCAAGATCCTTTGTCTCATTATTCAGAGAAAAACTTGCAGTATTTGTCGTCTTTAATTACCTGAAAATAACACAAACACAAAGCCTACACACCAGCAGTTTTTATAACAAGTGGGAACATTTTTGCCCATGTTGATTAAGCATCAGGTAAACAAATTATGAGACAAATGGGGAATTGCAGAACACTTGCGCAGGGGAAATGACATAACATAAGAGAATGAGGAGGAGTAGAATAATGAGATTTATATTTCATAGAAAGACTTCCATGTTTTGTGGGAGGAGTCAACATCACAAAAGTTTATAGCTGAGGGTGACATTATATATTTCCACCTGCTGCAGATGCTTGAGGAAGAGTTACCTGAAAGAGTTATGTAAGAGATGTGCTTAGCGGAAATTGACTTTGATGTCTAGGTTAGTTACCTGAAAACACAACATATTTAATTTTAGGTGTGGAGTAATGGAATAACATTTGGGCTTTTCTACAGGAAAATGGACTCTATTTTAGGTGTTAGAAATAAAACCAAGAAAACTCCATGTGATTGGCGCAATAGTCATAGGTTTGTGCCTGACCAATTACCAGTGTTCAGTGGGTCAAATTAAGTTTAGAGCAATAATTTTATTTAATTAAGTAGGTATTGAGTTACAGCATCTTTTAAAAGTAGTCTATTTAAGAAGTAGTTTTCAAAACAACATATGAAGGGGACACCATAATTATTATTGGTGGACCTGCATATTTTTAAACTGGATGAAATGTTTGATAGAAAACTCCTGTTTAAAAAATTTCGTACTGAAATTAGTCTATGAACTATAAACTCTAGAAAAACTGGAATGTACTCCCTAAAATAGATAAATCAAGGATACCGTGAACTTAATAGAACATGTCTAAAGATTAAACTTTCTGAATGTCTTTATGTGTATGATGATGATGATGATGATGATGATATTTTAGTTCAAATTCCACTCTAAAGGAGGAAAAGTAAATCTGACATGATGAAAAGAAGATGCAGAAGCAACAGTAAAAAGTGGGATAGCAAACAAGTTAATGTTTTAACTATGGCAGACCTGGCTGAGGTTTAATATAGCATTTCTGCTAAAAAATATTCTATTGGTTTACATGGACACTCAAATCTAATAGATCTAGTGTTCCGATAGGATATGTTGGATCTAAATTTCCTTTTAAAATAAATACAATCTATTGATCAAATAGATCCTATTGGTTTTACATGGAAATTTCACCCAATAGTCTCTATTAAATGTAAACTTCAAAATGAAATCAGTGAGTCTACCGACTTTGTGTTACATTATAAAGTTATTCATCTAATTCATTATTATTTTTAATATTTAATGTTTAGACATTTGGTTATACCTATATGTCTTCTTACACAATTTTAATATAATGTGGTTCACAAGAGAAAACTAATCGTCGTTTTATGCGATAGATTTTTTAACATGGAGAAACCAATTTGCATGAAAATTTTTAAACTGAACTTTTTGTTTAAGTTGTCGTATTGTTATAAAAGATACTGTTTTTTGTTCAAAAATTGGAGTCTAAATGAAGAGTTCATTTATCATTTTTAATCATAATATAGTACAAGTCGACCCCTCTATAACACTGTTGATTATTCCGTTTTATATGAATTCCATGTTGTACGAGTCACTTAGATTTTACAAATAGGTGTGCTGGGCTGTGAACGGCTCACATATTTGTAAAATCTAAGTGACTCGTACAACATGGAATTCATATAAAACGGAAAAATCAATAGTGTTATAAGGGAGTCGACTGGTACTGTAAGTAAGTCAGAAAATATTGTATATTGATTTACTTATTACTATGCTACCTTGCTTGTGTTTACTATATTTATATATTAATAATATTAGTGATGTTAGAATAAAACAGCTGTTTCTTTTGTAAATTTCTTATTTTTTCATTACATTGAAGTTGTGGATCCTGTTAAGCATTTTAAAGCACAATCTTTAGCCAAAAATCAACAACAATGAAATAATTTTAAGGAATTCATATAAAATTTTCATCAAAATTAGAAAAATGCAATTGGGAAATAACTAAAACCTAGATAATATCATATAATAAAGCTTTTGCTACAATTATTATATCATTTTTCAATTTGTCTTCTACAGAAAAAGCTAATAATTTAATAATGAGTGTATTATCAAATATATTTTATATAAAAAAAACATCTAAACAAAGCTAAAATCATATTATTATATCAGAAATGCACACATTTAATTTAAAATTCAATACTTTATCATGTATATGAAATAATTAAGAATTTTAAAAAATGTATAATATTTACTATTGTTAACTTATTTGGCAAGAGTATTGTTTTTAGTCATGATTTGATTCTATTTCCTAATTTCTCTCATATGTAGGCTTCTTCTTTTGATGCCCATGTTGTAGTATATCCTAAATACATCCTTTTGCTGTATGGTAGAAAAGAAGCGCACAAAGAGCAGTCGCGACAAACTCGAACTCTTCTCCTTGATCTTTACTCAAATTTGAGTGACTAAAAGTCCAGGTGGTGGGAAGTTAGTGTGGTCAAGTATCATATAAGTTGAAATGAGATTTAATTAAGATTTTACATTTGAAGTAATTACAAAAAATATAAATTTTTAGGATCTTTTCTTTTCCTGTTTCACAGACCAATTTAGAAGTAACAGACAATTAACAGGGATATGTTGCCTTTATGTACGACTTTATACAAAGCTTTCATGTTATTTCTTTTATAAAACTCATCCTTGTCCTTAATATATCAGTTGTTTGGATTGGCCAGCAAATAGTCTGAGCTTAAACTAAATTACAACCCTTTGGGCTATATTGAACAAAAAAGACAGAAAAGATACCCCCTGTACTAAAGAGGAGTTGAAAAATACAATTCTACACTATTCGTCTGGGATATCTCCTGGAGTGTGTCAATATAAAATTAAACAAATATGACAATAAATTACGGCAGTAATGAAAGCAAAAACGGTACAACCGAATTTTACAAAAGATAGTCTAGTATATTTTTCCCTTTAGGTGGTCTAATAATTTTATCTTTTAGTTTGTTTGGCATGCCTCCTGATTGACAAGAGGGGCAGAAAATAAAATATGTATTCTAGATATAGAATAATTTAATAATTACTAATTTTACTTACCTCCAATTTTCAACAATCAATTCTTTCGCATCTTTTAAAAGTAGTCTATTTAAGAAGTAGTTTTCAAAACAACATATGAAGGGGACACCATAATTATTATTGGTGGACCTGCATATTTTTAAACTGGATGAAATGTTTGATAGAAAACTCCTGTTTAAAAAATTTCGTACTGAAATTAGTCTATGAACTATAAACTCTAGAAAAACTGGAATGTACTCCCTAAAATAGATAAATCAAGGATACCGTGAACTTAATAGAACATGTCTAAAGATTAAACTTTCTGAATGTCTTTATGTGTATGATGATGATGATGATGATGATATTTTAGTTCAAATTCCACTCTAAAGGAGGAAAAGTAAATCTGACATGATGAAAAGAAGATGCAGAAGCAACAGTAAAAAGTGGGATAGCAAACAAGTTAATGTTTTAACTATGGCAGACCTGGCTGAGGTTTAATATAGCATTTCTGCTAAAAAATATTCTATTGGTTTACATGGACACTCAAATCTAATAGATCTAGTGTTCCGATAGGATATGTTGGATCTAAATTTCCTTTTAAAATAAATACAATCTATTGATCAAATAGATCCTATTGGTTTTACATGGAAATTTCACCCAATAGTCTCTATTAAATGTAAACTTCAAAATGAAATCAGTGAGTCTACCGACTTTGTGTTACATTATAAAGTTATTCATCTAATTCATTATTATTTTTAATATTTAATGTTTAGACATTTGGTTATACCTATATGTCTTCTTACACAATTTTAATATAATGTGGTTCACAAGAGAAAACTAATCGTCGTTTTATGCGATAGATTTTTTAACATGGAGAAACCAATTTGCATGAAAATTTTTAAACTGAACTTTTTGTTTAAGTTGTCGTATTGTTATAAAAGATACTGTTTTTTGTTCAAAAATTGGAGTCTAAATGAAGAGTTCATTTATCATTTTTAATCATAATATAGTACAAGTCGACCCCTCTATAACACTGTTGATTATTCCGTTTTATATGAATTCCATGTTGTACGAGTCACTTAGATTTTACAAATAGGTGTGCTGGGCTGTGAACGGCTCACATATTTGTAAAATCTAAGTGACTCGTACAACATGGAATTCATATAAAACGGAAAAATCAATAGTGTTATAAGGGAGTCGACTGGTACTGTAAGTAAGTCAGAAAATATTGTATATTGATTTACTTATTACTATGCTACCTTGCTTGTGTTTACTATATTTATATATTAATAATATTAGTGATGTTAGAATAAAACAGCTGTTTCTTTTGTAAATTTCTTATTTTTTCATTACATTGAAGTTGTGGATCCTGTTAAGCATTTTAAAGCACAATCTTTAGCCAAAAATCAACAACAATGAAATAATTTTAAGGAATTCATATAAAATTTTCATCAAAATTAGAAAAATGCAATTGGGAAATAACTAAAACCTAGATAATATCATATAATAAAGCTTTTGCTACAATTATTATATCATTTTTCAATTTGTCTTCTACAGAAAAAGCTAATAATTTAATAATGAGTGTATTATCAAATATATTTTATATAAAAAAAACATCTAAACAAAGCTAAAATCATATTATTATATCAGAAATGCACACATTTAATTTAAAATTCAATACTTTATCATGTATATGAAATAATTAAGAATTTTAAAAAATGTATAATATTTACTATTGTTAACTTATTTGGCAAGAGTATTGTTTTTAGTCATGATTTGATTCTATTTCCTAATTTCTCTCATATGTAGGCTTCTTCTTTTGATGCCCATGTTGTAGTATATCCTAAATACATCCTTTTGCTGTATGGTAGAAAAGAAGCGCACAAAGAGCAGTCGCGACAAACTCGAACTCTTCTCCTTGATCTTTACTCAAATTTGAGTGACTAAAAGTCCAGGTGGTGGGAAGTTAGTGTGGTCAAGTATCATATAAGTTGAAATGAGATTTAATTAAGATTTTACATTTGAAGTAATTACAAAAAATATAAATTTTTAGGATCTTTTCTTTTCCTGTTTCACAGACCAATTTAGAAGTAACAGACAATTAACAGGGATATGTTGCCTTTATGTACGACTTTATACAAAGCTTTCATGTTATTTCTTTTATAAAACTCATCCTTGTCCTTAATATATCAGTTGTTTGGATTGGCCAGCAAATAGTCTGAGCTTAAACTAAATTACAACCCTTTGGGCTATATTGAACAAAAAAGACAGAAAAGATACCCCCTGTACTAAAGAGGAGTTGAAAAATACAATTCTACACTATTCGTCTGGGATATCTCCTGGAGTGTGTCAATATAAAATTAAACAAATATGACAATAAATTACGGCAGTAATGAAAGCAAAAACGGTACAACCGAATTTTACAAAAGATAGTCTAGTATATTTTTCCCTTTAGGTGGTCTAATAATTTTATCTTTTAGTTTGTTTGGCATGCCTCCTGATTGACAAGAGGGGCAGAAAATAAAATATGTATTCTAGATATAGAATAATTTAATAATTACTAATTTTACTTACCTCCAATTTTCAACAATCAATTCTTTCGAGATGTTTATCAAGTTATATTATATTCTGTAAAATATTAAATGTAAAAATATATTGTATTAGTAAACAACACAACAGATTTTAATGTACAATTAAATTAACCTCATCTGAAGATAAATCGATCAATCTGAATGGTTCCAAGCAATCCATTGGTCCTTCGGATGGGTCGCCGGATGCACTCTCCTTGTTTATAACTTCTCTTATGAATACCGAATTAAGTTCCTTTCTCATCTCTTCTGCAGAATCTCGATCAACTTTACTAAAAGTCTCAACATTTTCCTCGCAGATAATAGAAAATTCTGAATTAAAACTGTGAACAATGCCGTGAAAATAAAGTCTGAAGTTTTCCCAATTGTCTCCCTTGAATAAATATCTTAAAAAGTGAATGAATTTATGAAGATTTCTGTATCTATTGCCAAGATCAGAAGGTGGATTTTCACTAAATGTCTTTTGTATTATGACGTATACTTTAGTATGGTTACAGGGCAGATTTTTATCTAATTTCATCAATTCTTTCTTTGTCTTTCTGTATATTTTAATAGTGTTATAAAAATCTTCGCATAAATCTAAATAGATGGTAAATAACTCATAAATATCAAAAGGATCAGGTATGCAAATGTATATTGGATTGAGTGCAGAAGTAGTTGATAATTTCAATAATTCGTCAAAACAATCGTAATAAAAGACAATTCTCGTTTCCTCTCGAAATATTTCTCTATTGTTTTCGTTTCTAATCTCATTGTAGAAATTCCTCCATGTTACAGGATGAAAGAAGTTTCCTCTGAGAAAATTTAAGAAGTTTCCTGTAAACGGATCGTCTCTAAACAAACCTAAAATGAATAACAAAATACCACGTACGTATGGAATCGTAACTGTGTCCATGGAATGAAAAATGTAAAAAGCCACAACAAATTCCATAAATGATTTATGAATAAATTCGATACATTGTTCACTGTTTCCCTCCGAATCTTTCTTAAATATATCCAGCCCAATGATAAATTGGTATTCATCATCATAACTGAAAGTTTTCCGGAAATCATCATCTGTTAATCTCTGTGTACCTGAAACACCATCCTTATTGAGTTGCTGAAATTCCTTTATATAGCACGAGTTTCCTAATTTTAGGATTAAATCTTCTCCATCAAAAAATGTTCCCCTTTTCAGTGTTTGATTGTGTTCTTTCTCCCTTTTATATCTTTCTATAATAGCATGAAAAGTGGAAATGAACAAATCAGTCTTTGTCTTTATGTCTCTGTAAACAGTACTATCAGGAAGGAAACATAACATTTGCAACATCATTGGGTATTGTGCTAATTCGAAAGCATCGTTTTTTACGAAATTGATGAGATAATCCTTTTTATCTTTGTCTTCTTTAATCATTAAGTCGATGTAATTTACCTTCTGTTCTAAAGAGAATCCTTCGATGCAATATTGGTTGTCGAAGTGTATACTAATTTCATCTGCGATAGGTAGACGACTGGTAACAATAAATGATATATGCGAAATTATAAAGGTCCGCTCACCAGTTATGAAGTTTTTTAAGCATTGTTTATATTGGATTTCATCAAATCCATCCAGCATGATCAGAAAATTACACGTAGGTCTTNATTAAATCTTCTCCATCAAAAAATGTTCCCCTTTTCAGTGTTTGATTGTGTGCTTTCTCCCTTTTATATCTTTCTATAATAGCATGAAAAGTGGAGATGAACAAATCAGTCGTTGTCTTTATGTCACTGTAAACAGAACTATCAGGAAGGAAGCATAACATTTGCAACATTAGTGGGCATTGTGCTAATTCAAAAGCATCGTTTTTTAGGAAATTGGTGAGATAATCCTTTTTATTTTTGTCTTCTTTAATCATACAGTCGATGTAATTTACCTTCTGTTCTAAAGAGAATCCTTCGATGCAATATTGGTCTTTGAAGTGTATACTAATTTGATCTGAGATAGGTAGACGACTGGTAAGAACAATTGTCACTTTTGGAAAAATGAAGCATGAGTCGATTGATATAAAGTCTTTTAAAATTTCTTTATAGCATATTTCTTCAAATCCGTCTAAAATGATCAGTAAGTTCCATGCAGGTTCTCTTAGTTGATTCCTTAAGTTGAAATTCTCATTAATATAATTGATTAGAGATTTACACGTATTCCTCTTAACTAATTCATGTGATTCAATTAACACTATAACATCGAATTGTCTTAAATAATCACATTCTTCATTCTTTCCCCAATCATATGCGATTTTTCTGCAAATGGTCGTTTTACCACATCCTGGATCTCCTGTGATCAAAACTGTTCGACGCCTGTTAGTTTCTTTAGGAAAAATATCTTTAATTTGAATAGTTTCTCCAGTTTTGCATCGAAAAATATCGGTTTTTTGAAGTTTTACATCCATAAAACATTCTTCTATTGGAAAGTTGTTATCTTCACTACAAAGGAAATGTGTCATATATGCATAATTGTTCTTGTATCTATTCATTAGCTGTTCTTGAATGACCTTTAATTCCTCTGAAATGAAGAAAATCTTAAATTAGAAAAGAAAATTTGTATGCAGGTATAAAAATTACGAATAGAAATTCTATGTTCGTGAGTTAAAGAATAGAAGTTGTATATTCTTAGTGGCAGACCTAAAGCACCTATTTTGTTCTGAAATGAACCAGTTCTAATATACTGCCCACATGACATTTTGTAGATTTTCTTTTTATGTGTCACACTTAGATGATAGCGGATTTAAGTAAACATTTCTACTGTAAAATGATCTTTATCTTAATTGGTATGTAAAGTACCAATTAAGATTGCCTTTCATTAATTAAGCTCGATCTCTCAGTTAAAATTTAATAGTATCTACTTTCTAACGAACCTATCTAAATGACTACATGAATGTCCACATGCCAAGTTATCGTAAACGAAGAAAACAAAACCAATGACATAACTTGAATTCATATTGTGCAGTTTATTTTTATATCGCAACGCAACACATGCGTTATCTGCCGAAGGGGGATGCCACCCGGGAGGAATTTTTTAAAAAAGTGACCCATATTTAAGTGTTTGAAAAGTGAGGGAAATACGGAAAACTTCACATGGACGGGTCATTCGCCAGGCTCTAAGTTATCAGTGGTCAGTGCTTTTATCCCCTCATTCACCGATGTGTGTTGAATTCATATGGTAATGACTGACAATGTTAATGTTAATGACTGACAAGCCGTTACAAGCATGTTTACTGCATTGGGACCGGGTCTATTGGGGTTCGGTTAGTCATTAATACTTTAGTTACGAATAATGATTTTCAAATACTTCATACAATACTACGAAATATACTTGTAACATAGACAACATAAATTTTGTGAGGCCAACGACACCTTTGTTTCGCCGTTAATAAATACATAGGATGTGAGGATATCAAAATCCATTTCCCAATTACAATTTAAAGTTAATGTTTAGGGTCGTAGACTGTCATGGCAGCTCTTCCTGTTTTAGCCTCGAAACCAGACCGCTTTGGAGACGACGTGTCACGTGACGACGCGAGCGAACGGCGGCGGCTGCTGCGCCGCGATAAACGGGGAAAACCTACGTGCGGGTTGACGTCCATATACGTACACTCATGGCGGCTCATCTCTGATTCCGCAAAAAGAAAAGAAAACAGTGGGGACGCACGTTCTAACCTAACCTAACCTATTCTAATAATTTAATCGGTAATAATTGTGGTAATTTATTAGAATAGGTTAGGTTAGGTTAGAACGTGCGTCCCCACTGTTTCCTTTTTTTTTTGCGGAATCAGAGATGAGCCGCCATGAGTCTACGTATATGGACGTTAACCCGCGCGTCGGTTTTCCCCGTTTATCGCGGCGCAGCAGCCGCCGCCGTTCGCTCGCGTCGTCACGTGACACGTCGTCTCCAAAGCGGTCCGGTTTCGAGGCTAAAACAGGAAGAGCTGCCATGACAGTCTACGACCCTAAACATTAACCCAATTTAAATCTTATTCACTTCAAATATGTTTTAAATAAAATATGTAATTAATATAAAGATAATTACCTTGAAGGAAAGAATCATCAATCTTATTTCGATACTCCTCTCCCATTTTTATATCCATGCAATCGCTCTTTGCACTATTAATTAAACATGGATGAATGTAAAATATAAATAAAGTATAAAATAATAAATTACTTCATATTTTATATTAAACATAATACAGAAATTAATTTAAAAAAGGCCGCCTTATGGAGAAATTTTCACGGGAAAGTGTTAGGCCTAAAACTCCACGTGGCACAGCTTCTGTGGCAGTTACACGTGAACCGACGTCACACTAACTACTGTTTACTGGTTTCGTCCACTCCGATAACGTGGGAGAATTTTTAAGTGTTTTAAAATTATAATAATTACTATTTAATGAATAGTATATAAGTGTATAAAATTGTTTACCGTATCCGAATTCAAATTCACTCCTCCAGTGAGAACACGTGTTTCATTAAGTCGTGCAACGTTCTTTACGACGAGTTGTAGCTGCAAAGAAAAGCCGATACGATAAAAGTTTATACGGACAAATTTAAACACGTGTAACCATGTTTTGGTGTTGCTGATACGCCTTATAATTTATATAAATTGTTCTCATTTGTTAAGTACGGTAAATATACATAAAAATTTACTAAAATCAAGCTAAAAATAGATAAAAATGAAGATTTATAATTGTTTGTTTACGTTCGTAACTGATAATGTATTCCTGACGTTTCCAACAAAGTTCCCACCTCACAAACCCAATTCGATGCTTATTCGTTAAAGGATTTTCACTTGCCTATAATAGACCAATTAGAGCTCAATAGGCGGGCGAAAGAGGACTTTATTCTCCAATGAACGAAAAAAGGGTCTCCCATAGACTTAACATGGAAAGGAGGAGTTTTGAGAGTAAATTTAAAAATACGGAATGGTAACAAATATCTTATTCGCTCAAACAGACTTAGATTATGTAAATAAAAGCCAATCAGTGCTTAAATCAACAGCATCTAATTAATTACGAAAGAATTGAAACTTTCTCCAATGATAGTATAGCGCAAACAACTGGTTTAATTATCACGTATCCTGCTACTATCAAACTATTGTAGTGTAACATCTCGTGCAGGGATTCTTTTTATTCTCGACAATTAAAAATCCACATTAAAAAATATTAAAAAGTACAATTCTTCGATCAATGTGCTAACCACGTGACTTAGTTTTCTCGCGTGTTAAACACACATAGAAAGTCCTTCCTAAAGATAGCGGCTTATACGCTATTCAATCTAATTAATCTGCTTCAATTATTCCTTACTTGACGAAATAATTAAACTCCTAGTCGCTCCTATCCAAGGAACAGAAGAAATTTAAATAAAGTTCGAAGCGGTGTTCATATTTATTTCACGGTATTATGCAATGTTAATTACAAGAGCAAGGGTAGAAATGATGACGTTATCGAAAAATCGAAGTCGTTCTACGTAATAGTTTACGTAACAAAAATGTGATTCATTTAGGCACGTGATATCCTGTCTGGACGTTACATTTGTTAAATCTAAAGGAAGTTTACACACCTAAGACAAATCTCATCGAATTTGAAAGGTTGGTATATTATCATTCTATTCGTTTATGTAATTAAGTTATAATTATACCAGTACATCGACCCCCATATAACACTGTTCATAATTCCGTTTTATATGAATTCCATGTTGTACGAGTCACTTAAATTTTACAAACACGTGTGCCGGGCTTTGAACGGCTCACGTATTTGTAAAATCTAAGTGACTCGTACGACGTTGGTTCAGTTTATTTGCGATATGTGTAGGGCATAAACAATTTGCTGTTGAGCATATTTCATTTTTACTGTTTCACTAATTTATTTATATTGCCTTTATCTTGTATTACAATGTTTTCATTTATTATCTGTTTGATTTCTTTTTGTAATTAATTTTTGTTTACATTTTTTAAAATATGTTTTTAACTTGTATTTCGTTGTCATAATATTAAATAGGTTTTTGGGCTTGTATTTCTTTGTTTTGATAGTAAATTCCAACTTGTAACATAAATATATATACCTACCTATCCTGTCTTATTACTATTGTTTTCTTTTTATAAAGTTATTATTATTATGATTATTTTTTTATTTTCAAACTGACTATAACCAGTTCTATGACAAGGGTACATTCTGGTAGAAAATAAATAACGCTTTTCTTTCAGTTTATGGCAATATTTGTTACAAAAAATTTAACTTATTCTTATCGTGCTCGTGTTGTTTTGTTTTCCCCTATATCTTAATAAAATAATAATTTTTGTGACTGACAATTAATCTGCAGAATGTAGTATTGTTAGCCTATATTTGTGATTTTTTAGTTTTAATGTTTCCATCGATTCCCAATAATATTATTGGGTCGATATCTATTGCTTTGTCGACCTTTAACTTATACGGCAGTGAGTTCGTGCCAGCGATTAATTTTAGTAAACACTTGAATTTCATTATTTAACAGTGATTAATTAATTTGTAATTTCTTAAAAATCAAACTGAAACTAAAAGTAGATAAGACATTCTTGAAGAAAGGTTACGAATTTTTTTATTTTGTTTATTTTCGACAATTAAAAATTCAATTAAAACGTACACTTCGATTAATATGTTTGCCACGTGACTTGGTTTTCTCGCGTGTTAAACACCCATAGAAAGTACCCTCCTGGCTTATACGCTATCCAGTCTAATCAGCCTGGTTTAATTATTCTTTACTTGCCAAAATAATTAAACGCCTAGTCGCTCCTATCCAAGGAACAGGAATATAATAAATATAATAAATNATCATCGAAATTAAAAGGTTTGAACATTATCATTCTATTCATTCAATTGTAAAACGAAATTCTATTTATGTAATTATAATTATACGAGTACGAGTGACACGATTTAAAAAAGAAATAGTATTTAATGGTATATTACTGAGAGAAAGTTAATGTACTATTTAATTAATTAATTATTTGAAAATAAAAGGTTTGAACATTATCATTCTATTTATTTAATTGTAATGCGAAATTCTATTTATGTAATTATAATTATACGAGTACGAGTGACACTATTACTAAAGGAAATAAAATTTAATGGTACCTTACTGAGGGAAGGTTAATGTATTATTTAATTAATAAATTATTTGAAGTACACGATATACGTACAGACGTACAAAACATGCATATTCTTTAAACAGCAAAATGAGTGATTAAAAACAAAATATTTGTTTATAGTTAATTTCAATTATAAAGTACAGAGTTCCTTCTAAACAAGTGATATATTTTGCTTGTTTAGAAGGAAGTATGTACTTTAAATTTGATTATATAGTAATTTAGAATATAATATTACTGAAAATCACCTTTGGAAAAGAGTGTTAATTATTTAAATGTCATTATTTTATTTTTCTATATATATACTTTTACATATTACATGTATGTACTGTACAGGTATTGTACAGTGAAACATGTGTAAACAGGAGGTAATCTATTCTGAATATATGGTCCAGCTATCGAATACGATAAAAGCGGATTATATTGGTACCACGTTATCAACTATAAAAATGCTATTCTGAACTGTACATAATATTACTTCAGGACAGTGGCGTGCCGTCATTAGAAGCGATGGAAGCATTTCTTCCCTTGTATTTTATAAAATATAAATACATATTAATTTTAATTATATGAAAATANACTGCTCGACAGACTGGTTGCATGTACAGTACAGGAACCGATAAGAATTTACTATGTTTTTACGATAGTTCTGTATAGTTGACAGGAGTTAAAAAAATGCATTAAATTATTTGATAGATTTATTCCGCTCTCCGATTTTATATTACTCGCGGATTTCGATGTTAAACCAGTGGTATTACGATTTCCTATGTCCCATCTTTAAGGGGATGTAGAAAAAAAACGTGTATAATTCTTGTATAATGTTAAAAAATTAACAGTAACTTTGTTAGCATCATTTACAACTAAATTTAATGAATGAGAGATGCACCAGGTACAGAGAAGGCTGTAAAATTTATTTTCCTTAAATTTACGATTTATGTATCCGTTTGACATAAAAATTTGTCTTTCCACTTTTTTTCCTAAACTACAAATATTCGAGTACGAAGTAACCGGTTTCGACTTATTTCTACTTAAGAAGTAGTTAAATAATTAAGCGATTAGAGAATTGGGCACACAAAACCCTGATGAAAGAGCCGAAATTTTACTTAAACAAAAGTGTAACCAAACCAATCTCTAGCCGAGTACAGTGGACATTGATTTCTACGAAATACTGTATTAGATGTAATATAGACAGAAATTTTTCCAGTTCGACGAGAGTGACCGAAAAGTTGTAAATTTTGGAAATTTCCGTGGACAACACCTGGTCCTAAAACGAATTAGAAAACAAACGACGGACAATCTATTGAGTTTAACATATTTAGACTTTTACAGCTATGGTGAGAAACGTTTAAAATTTACAAGAACCCTGTCGCGTCTTTTGACATTTGACATTGACCGGTATCGGCACCCTCGGGATTTGGCAGCTCGCGTGCACGTACACACCGCACACCTAGCAGGACCGTCTCTGATTCCACTCGTAGGGAGCTATTTGACTAAGTGGTTAAGATTTAAAGAGTAAAGAATATTTTATGTTACTTTTATTTACGTTTCATTACAAAGCTATATTTAATTATAATTTTCTTTAAAAGTATATTCATACAATTGAAGAATGTTTTGTACTAGGTATGGCTGCAGCAATATTAGAATTTTAATTTTTACCGTTCATTTCGTTCTAACTTTTCGGTTGGTAAAATTATAAATAAGGCCATTTAATGTGTATATTTGAAACATAATTACCATTATAACAAATATAATTGTTAATTTTAAGTTATACAGTAGAACCTCGAAAACTCGGCTCTCGATAACCCGGCACTCCGGATAACTCGGCCACACCCTGGCAGGGCAAAAAAATCCTTAGTTAATTAATTTTCATTATAGACAGCTTTATAAAAGTATAAATCTCTCATAAAGTATTTTTCTGAGGTCTGTGTTGTCAGATAAATTACTGTACACAGTGTATTCATTAATTTTCATTTTCATGTAGTAAAGGCTCTATGCCTTTATAAAGTACGTAGTTTTCCTTTGTTTAAGGGTATTTGGGCAGTTTATTCTCTGTTATATTCTCAAGTAAACAATACATATAAGTACAGTACAGTATTTTCTGAGGAAACACTCGTACTTATTTTTTTTAACCCCATTCCCGATAACCCGGCATTTTCACAAACTCGGCCACCCTTCGGTCCACATTAGGCCGAGTTTTCAAGGTTCTACTGTATTAAATTTTAGGTAGTCATGTTTTTCTCTCGGTGTTATTGTTGAATGCTCGATTACTGATAATGCTACGGTTAATAGTGTTATTATTAAAGAAGGGTCTTATTAAAAAGCTCTTTTAAAGCATAATAAACACGAAAAAGATGTATAAAATCAGCCACAATGCAGTCAATATATTTGCTACAGACAGATTATATATATACAGTATGTATATCCACCACACATTTTATTTCACCGAGTAAGTTTTTATAATTTTATTTTTAATTTTAGCCTTTATATCGTAGCTAGTGATTCGGAATGTAATTGCCATATTGAAAATTTATTTTTAAAAAGTTTCGGCTCGAGATCATATAATGAAAAAGAAAACATTATTGAAAGAGAAAGGCCAATGCTTAAATTAAATATAAACGCTTGAATAAAAAAATTTGTTCGACATTTTCGCGATAAAATGGCTCTGTAAATGCAAAAATTGCTTTGTTGCCTCGCCTACCATTTTCAAATCAAATTAGTGTGTGGAATAAGAATGGCTTTGACAATTTAGCTGGCAAAAGACACGAAAAAATCGTCGATTCTTTGAAGTAATTTGAAGATCAAAGCGGAATAGAATTTAACATTAGTAAATAATATAAAATAAACATTGATAATTATAACGAGATAGTTACGGTTAATAGACATAATATATCTAAATAAATAGATGTTATATGTTTTTATCAAAGCAAGAATTGGCATTTTGAGGGCAAATGGAATATATTGGATCTAATAACAGAGGTAATTATATTGAACTTGTTTATTTATTAAGTACGTCAGATAAATAATGTATTAAAAATACATATAAAAAAAGAATTAACTAATCGCTACTGGAAGTCGGCTTATTATAGAAACACAGCTTCCCTATCATCAAATGTCACGGCACGCCACTGCTCGACAGACTGGTTGCATGTACAGTTCCGGTACACTGTGTATTGAACTGTGGTTTCGGTTTCGGTTTCATTTCTACTGCATCCTTCCTTGTGTTTAGTTAAGTAGTGAGAAAAAAGGATGGATTCTAAGAGAAAAGCTGGTAGAGGTAAGGAATAAGATTGTATTTTTTGAGCATTGTTCTAAGGATTAAACATTCTGTTACTGGATTTGTTGTGGATTTTAACGAATTAATTTTTTGCAAACTAATAGCATTTAATTCTTTAAAATCCTGTTGTTTTGACTGTTTTCAAGGTACAGAGGGAAAGACAACCTTTCAGGGTGATGTCTCTGTCTTCTTCGAAGCTTGAATTTTACATTATTCAATTTTTTTTTTTGAAAAATGGCAAATCAGCAACCTTGGGGACTCTGCATATTACTCGAAGCTAAAATCCTACTCTAAATAAATATAGTATGGCAGCTGATCTAGTTAAATTAGCAGTGTTTCTTTTAATTTTCTATTAATTTAACGTTTATCGTTTTTAAGATAATACTGGAATAAAACTAAGATTTCTCAAATGTTTACTATATATATACTAGTGAAAATAAAGATATTTTGTATTGATTTTTGAATATGATTTCCACTATTTGATAATCAGAAACTACACCAGTATAATATGTCCTATTTATAAACAAGATCAAACAAAAAAGTAAAATATTAAGGACAGAGGTAAAAATAGTAAGGTATGTGCAGTGTTTATTAATATATTTTCACTCTTGAGGAATTGAATTCACAATCTTACTTTTGTCAATGCTGTTTAATGACAACTATTATAGTCAACAACAAATTCACCTATTAACATTATATTGATAAAATAATAAAAGGTTTAACAATAGGTAGATGAATACTATGGAAAAACTGTAAATGCATTTCATCAAATCTTGCCCTGTGCACCATTTCTTTTTCCAGGTATTGAAACAATCATTTATTATTGTCTACTTCTGTTGACTGTTGCTTCTAATACAATACTTTTATAAACATAGTCATTAAAGAAATTTATAAAATATGTCTTCTGTGAAGCAAACACGCCATCTTATTTTTTACTGCTCCTCTTGAAATTGCTTTTACACAAATTTCTCACAACAATCTTTTAAACATGCATTATATATATCATGCATGTTTGAAACATATGAATATATACGACATCATGAATAACCTGTACAAAGAAATAGTCCAATGCAAGAATGATAAACTTTCCTACATTCAAAACCTGTCTATGTACTGTACAGTCTATTATTTAACAACAAAGATGCTGTCAACCAATTGCAACTACTGGGGATATACAAAATACCAACAGTAGAGTACAGACTTAATTGTAAGTTGGAATATATCAGATTCGTCAGTTTCTCATTACAAAAAAGACCTGTAGAGTATAAATATGATATTAACAATTGAAAACTGTCTACTGCACTGTTAATTTATGTATCAGAAGATGATATACATGTCGATTTCGAGAACACATCCCGAATGCATTCATCACAAAGATTTTATATCATTGTTGCCATTGAGGCACTTGAAATTTACAAGGCTGAAATGAAAAACAAAAGTAATGAGTTTAAGAATCAAAGACATTCATTTTTTACAAGGAAATCATTATTCAAGAGCCCATAACCTGGTGCTAATATATTAAGTATCTTATTGCAAAACAAAGTTAAAAATGTCACTTGAACATTATTAATGTTTTTGGTGTTAATTTTCCCATAGTTTGTATATTGCTATTACTTTAATATTTCGGATGAACAACACCAATTTTTAAATTTTAAAATGCATTTGAGATATTGAGTATTTGAGATAGTTACAAGGAAGTTCTTTTTGCATTTTGTTTAAAAAATATGGTACCTGAAGAATATCCAGTGTTGGAAAACATTAATCCATGTTCCATCAATAAAATACACACTAGAGTTTATTTTCTGGTTTTTCAGTTGATTTTGATTCTCTAATCTCACCATTTGCCAGTAATAAAGACACATCAGAATCCCATAGTTGCAAAATGGATTTACACTGAAAAAACATCAGAATGTACTAATGCAGACAGTGCTAGTTAAATAACTTACATCTGAGGCAAAAATTAGTTTCACTACCTGTGGTTCTAGAATAGTACTAAAGGTAGAGGTACTAGAAGAATGTGGTAAAATATAATAAAGAGCACTTCTAGTACTTGCACTCAAGTATAAACAACTTTAAAGTACATTTATAGAACTTTATTGTATTCAATTTATTAATATTAACTATTTTCTTTTTCTTTTGAGCATTTTTGACTGTTCATTTTGCTAGTTGTGGCAGTCGCCTGACTTGCTGCTTTGCCTTATATGACAAGCCAACCCAGAAGGCAAACCAGTCAAATTTTTGATAAAAATGCTAAATATTATTGCATAGTCAAGTAGCACAAAAATTTTTTTTCATAGTTTATGTTTAGTTACTCATGATATTTGCCTTTTTATTTTCATTATTTGTAGTTTTGGAAGTTTATTTTTGTTTAAGTTCAACAACATTCTCAATGTTTCCTTGCTGATTTGCATACATATTGACATTACATTTTACTAAATTATTAAAATGAATAAACAAATTAATGAATATGCATAGTTTATTTGCAAATGCAAAGTAATATTTTAAAAGTTTCTGCTTTCGCATAACTAAGTAATTAGGATCATGGAACTAATGTACCGTATTTAAATACAGATCCATTCTTAAGAAATGTGGGTTCTGAACAGGGCCGGATCATCGCATAGACAAATTAGACAAATGTCTAGGGCCCTGTTTTTAGAAGGGCCCGGTCAAACTGTCTATTTTCAAAAGATTTGTAAATAAGTTAGTTTACTTTTCTGTTAGACAACTGGTAAAATACTGGTAAAACTGGTAAGATATTATATTATTTAAATATTAACCAAAAAGATTAAATTAATCAAGTAAAACGGCAAAACCGTATTTTGGACACGACTATGTCTCGGAGACACTACTAAGCAGAATCACTTTGACGCTCAAAGCGGATCTCGTTCTCATTCTCCAATCTTTTTTGGTATCGCTGCTTTTGGGCGCGATCGTTCAAACTTCGCCGGCTACGATGCATTTTCGATGAAATTAACCTATCCAATTTCGAAATTTCTCTCCGTTGCGTGTCGGCCCGGGTTGAATTTTTGTCGATGCGTAACGAAAATTTCCCGTTTTTGAAAAAAAAATAATCGTGGCTATTGTATCGTCCAAAATTATTTTTTTTGTATTTTGCACAAACAATATACAGTTTAACCCGATTATAACGTCATCGGATGTAACGACGACTCTAATATAATGTCAAATTTATATCGGTCCCACGATTTTACTATACTAGATAATGTTAAAAAACTTACTTGTAACGACATAAAACCGTTTTAACGTCATATTTGAAGCACTCCCAAATTTATAAAATTAGATTACAAATTTTATTTAACAAAGAAAATACTACGTGTCCAATTCTAGGGTCAGAGTCCACTTCCTAGAACGACTGTGGGTTGTACTCTTACCACCTGACTTCGGTTTCCCTGTTTGTAGAGAGAGTCTCCATTTTGTATTTTACTTTGACTCGGTTCTCGGTCCCCTGAGTACCTACAAGTCTGTTTTTTTTTAAGCGCGCATGATTTGGGCACTTAATACTCTGTGCCAAATTTCAACTCCTGACACGTACTCCTTCATACCTCTAAGCCAGTGGTTCCCAATTAGTTTTTCCTGCGTACCACTTCAAGAAAGAGCTCAAACTCTCGTACCCCTTATAGCAGAAATTCATATTAATCCATACTAATATTATAAATTCTAAGATATTAATATTTCTGTCTGTCTGTTTGTTACCTTTTCACGTCTAAACCGCTGAACAGGTTTTAATAAAATTTGGCACAGAGATAGCCTACATGTTTGAGATGGACATAGGCTACATTTTACTGCAAGAAAATATCTTACTCCCTTGAGAAAATTCAATGTAATGCGGGAGAAGCTGTGGGTAGACAGCTAGTAATAAATAGAATAACTTTTTTTTTACATTTATTACCTTTAAAATGCAATTCTAATAATAATGAAAATAACATAAGGTTATTTAATTTTAATGTGACAAATGTGCACGATTTTCTTTGCACAACTTTGTAAAATCTGGTTGCTTTTTAGTCAGCTTCAGTCTCGAGTCATCTTCGAGTTGAAGTCGGTGACAATGTTTAGTTTTCATGTTTGTCATGGCCGAAAATCCGCTCTCGCAGAGGTATACAGGTATACCTCGACTTACGTCGTTTCGAGTTACGTCGTTCCCGATTATACGTCGTTTGTCAAAAAAGTATATGGAAAAATAAAAATCAAGTTTAAGTCATTTTATTCGACTTTACGTCTGTCCGCCACAAATATTGAAGTCGTAATATCACTAGAAAAATGTTTAAAGCACATAAAATCATATTAAAATATATACATTTACAAGTATGTACTGTATTTACAGTACATGCATTCGTAAATTTAGATTACTTTTTTTCTGTACTATATTAAAAACTAAAATTTATTTGTTTGTAAGCTTAAAATAGATCCTTATTAACCATACATTATTAAAAATGCATTAATAAATAAAATACAGAACCGGAATTGGCAATTTATGGTTTAGCCTAGTGACAAGTAGATTTGGAGACAAGTAAATTCGACTTACGTCGTTTTTCGACTTAAGTCGTTCTCCTGGAACCAATTACCGACGTAAGGTGTGGTATACCTGTATTATGCAAAATGGTAGTAAATATTTTATTGCCGCTTCGCTGACATGATAATATTGATAATTGTACAATTAGCACAAATTGTGTTAATTGTACAAGTTTTGTTTCTTGCGTAAGAATTTAGGTATTGTCACAAATGCATTTTTTTGATGAAATTTCGAGAATATCTTTAGTTATAAATAAACGAATTTGTGCATTCCACATCACGTTGTAGATTGCCGAATTTTTGATGGTCCGCCCATTTTTTTTTTTTTTTTTATTGCTTCATCTAATGCATTTGCATTTTAAATCGATTTTAGATTGCCGCGCGTACCCCTTCATGCAATTTCGCGTACCCCTGGGGGTAGGCATACCACTAATTGAGAACCATTACTCTAAGCTGGTAACACAGCAGGCTATACGATTTTATAAACAAGGCATAGTCTTGTTGACAATTAATATTTTAAGGTAATATTGTTATTGTATAACAACTTTTGTTAGACATTTAAAATAAATTTCAATTTTTTTAAATTTATAAACAAATTGTTCAAACTTTTCTAGAAAAACTAAAATTTATTGTTGTATGTTAAATATTTTTTATTAATAAAAATTTAAGATTTGTTTTAGTTTTTCACATTATTTAGTTTTGTTTTATTTATTGTTTTATATTTTTTGTGTGCTCTAATTCTTGTGGGAGAGGGAGGGAGGGGGCCCGTTAAGAAGAAAATGTCTAGGGCACCAAAGTGGGTTAATCCGGCCCTGGTTCTGAATGGAACCATTAGACTAAACAATAGTTAGCATATGCTAAATTGATAAGAAATTTATTCACATTATGCTACTTAATCTAAATTTCTCACAAAATAAAACAACAGATTCTTATTTAAAATTAAACTTCACTCTTTCTGTGTGAGTTATAATCATAGCAAAGAATCAAATATGGCCAAATTGTTTAAGTTAGCTCTTTTCAGTTTTATAATTTTTATTTATATGTAGTGTGTTCTAAGCTAAGTGCCAGTCAGTTGTAAGCAAAGACTTGGAATTGTTGTATTGCGAGTTTTTATTATGTTGGTTAAAGGTTTTTTGCTGTCAGTTTGGTTTCATCTAATGAGGTTACAACTAATTGTCTCTTGTGTTATATCTTTACATTTTTGTAAATTTAACAATTGTAGTTATCATAAGTAAGTCCAATATTATAAAATAGCAAGTCTCCATAATTCTTTTAGAAGAACTCTAATGNTTGTTGGACTACAAATAGGATAATTTCTACAAAGTTTAACCAAGTAGATTACAAAAATATTTTTAATAATTAGAAAAACTTAAAACAATTTCTAACATCCGTTCTGATTGGGCCTTACGAATTGGCCACCGACATATAATCGTACTCAATGTGAATGCTTCTATTACTAGTCGGTCCGATTTTCGGATCGGTCAAATCGGACCAATCGGTCCAGTCGGTCATAGTGTGAAACAGCCCTTAGTCTGCTTTAATTACCTGAAAACACAACAAATTTTATTTTAGGAATAGCGTAATGTGATAACATACATGGACAATCTTCTGAGGTTGGAGTGTCTTCCAGAAGGCTTTTCTATGGGAAATTGGCCTCTATAAACTAGTCTATTTAAGAAGTTGTTTTCAAAACAAAATATGAAGGAGAGACGCCTAATTATTATTGGTGGTTGTGCATATTTTTAAACTGGATAAAATGTTTGCTAGAAAATTATCTGTTTAACTTTAGTATTTCATTGGATATATTAAACTTATCTTTTAAAATGCTCAAATATTTTTGTAAGTTTTGATTGCTTAATATTTCATAATCATCTAATAAATATGAAAATAAATTTGTTGTATGATCTGTAGAATTCTTGAAGAACTGGTTTTAAAGTAACCATTATTATTTCTCAGATATAGAAACTTTTTCTAAGCATTTTAATTAAATCATATATTATTAAGTAATTTGAATTTAGAACCTGAATTTAATACATTTCAGAAAATCACTCTATAATTGAATACTCACTAATCAGTGAGTATTCAATTATAGAGTATTATAATAGAGTATTATAATAAAATTTAATTGAAAAATAAAGTAATGAAAATTACATTTTATATCTTCTTTTCATTTCATCCTCTTGTAATTCTTATAGTATTTATCACTGTTAAATTAGTTGTAATTACTGTTAGTAGTAATTACTGTATTTATCACTGTTAAATTTTTAATAGCTACAGTGAGAATTAACTTGTAAAGGTCATTTTTATGTAAAAAGTAATGGATAACTAATTTAACAGTGATAAATACTATAAGAATTACAAGAGGATGAAATGAAAAGAAGATATAAAATGTAATTTTCATTACTTTATTTTTCAATTAAATTTTAAAATACACTTACTGAAAGAGAAAGCAAATTACCCAATGCTGTGTAAAAAAGTCCAGGACAATAAGTATACTTAAAATTCACAAGAAAAGAAGAATCACTAAAAAAAACTTTAAAAATGTCTTTGAAATTTTGTCACTTTTTGACCCTTGAGAACATAAGAATCAATACTATGTTCCCAAGTTGGCCTTTTTATGGGAAAGTAATACATCTGATTACTTTATTTATTTATGAGAAATAAAGTTGACCTTTATTTTAATTTTTTTATCTGACTCAATATAAAAAACTTCTGTTTAAAAAATTTCCGAACGAAATTAGTCTACGAACTATAAACTTTAGAAAAACTGGAATGTACTTCAAAAGTAAATAAATCAAGGATACATTGAACTTAATAGAACATGTCAAAAGATTAAACTTTCTGAATGTCTTTATGTGTGCGAGGATGATGATATTTTAGTTTAATTTCAATTTTATTGGTTTCTAAATAAAAAGTTCATTTATTATTTTTAAGCATAATACAGTACTCTAAGTCAGAGTATATTGTATATTGATTTTCTTATTTTCTTTCTATGCTACCTTGTGTTTACTATATTTACATACAAATAGTATTAACAGTAAATGATGTTAGAATATAAAAAAACTTGCATTTGTTTTTCAAATTAAGTGTATTATTAGAGATTATCTTATATAAAAAAGATCCAAACAAATCTAAAATCATAATATTACATAACAAATGCATATACTTAATTTAAAATTCAATACTTTATAATGTATATGAAGTAATATAACAATTTTAGAAAATTTATAATATTCACTATTGTTAACTTGTTTGGAGAGAGTATTGTTTAGTTATAGCTTTGGTTCTATTTTCTAATTTCTCATAATTTCGATTGTACTACTCGATTCAGATTGCAATTGATGAATGTTATGAGAGATATGAATTTGTTTCTTAATTATATTTTTTTTATGTATGAAAATGAAAAGAAGTAAATAAAACTATAAAAAATACCAAATAATATAAATTGAACATAGTTCACTTGAATCTTTTTTTAATATAAATTTGTAAAGCTTATGTATCTTTATTACTCGATTATTTCTTGTTCTTTCATTTATTTTTGGGAGAAGCACAAAATTGCTATGTAGAACTTATCACACATAACATTTTCTGATGAATAACATAGACATTATGTGTACAAAGTAAATGTATCTATTTAATGCAAATATGGGTATATTTTGGGTATTTATGGGAGTTTTTGTGCACGTGTGTGATACTTATGACTTTGTTCACCTTCTTTAAAGCTCAATAACTCCTTTTATCAAAATTTTCTGGAATTTCGCAGAGGTTTACATCTCAGAGAGATGAATGCTATTAAATTTTGGTGGTAAAGGTCGAGCGATAAAGAGGAGATATAGGGAGTCACATCTCATGTCTCGAGTGGGGTCAGACTAAATTAAGGTGTTATTTATTAATTTCTATTCACAATTTTTTATAAATTTATCTCTACCTTCAAAATTAAGTTTTTTGCCATTTTATAATAATAAATTTTAAATAAAGTAATCATAAATAAATAAAATAATATAGTAAACTCTAAAATTAAAACTTAATGATAATAACAAGAGAAAATTATAGGAAAATAATATAAGAATAAATTTTCAAAGGTTTTATAAGTACACTTGTAATCTGTAGGAAGAAATGAACTGAAGGGATATGAATAAATAGAAATTATTTTACTAAAATTCTTATAATTGTTATTCTATGGATATTTTAGGTTTATTTTATTGAAATTTTGGCACAAACAACTGCATGAATAGCTGGTTTAATAGAACAGTTGAGGGCGGATAAGAATAGGAGAAAGCATAGAATGTGGGGAAAAGTTTATTTGAAAGAACGCCAGGGAAGATTTGTTACCCATAATTTAAGTATTTTTAAAGCTGAGATATTGATACGTTACACTACCACATGAGTATTTTTGATAAAAATACCATAATTTTTTTTCATTTATATTAAAAAGTAATATTTTTTGTAGGAGATGGCGATCGAGGTAGAGGCCGAGCACGCAGAGGACGAAGTCGTGGTAGAGAGAGAGGTTACAAATCTCAGTATGACATTCCAATTAGAGGTATACAAGACTCACTTTCCCCAGCATCAAGACTCGATGAAAGGCAATCCGCTAGTACAGCAAGAGATAGAACTAATCTTGGTGAGTGTAGCAGAACCATAAGTAATTTAACAGATGTAACAATAAGTATGCATTTATATACATATCAGCTTATGTCAGTACTAAATGATATGAAAATGTTTTGCACTTAAACATTCATACTCTTGATTTAAAATCGATTACAATACATTACATTAAAATTAATATAAATAATGTTTCTGTTTTTGTTAATTCACATATAATATTCATATATGAAAGGTGGAGCACAGTTCCCTGATTTTGAACTTGGTGGAGAATTTCCAAGTACACAAGAATTACCTTCTTCGATAGCAACAGAAGATGCAACGACTAGTAGATCGCCTGCAATAATTACACCTGTTGAGAGTATGATAAGACCATCTTTACGTACAGGTAAGTTACATACAAAATAATTGTTACAAAAATATTCTATTTGCAAGTGTAATTTAGTAATATGTATTCCTTTAGAAGATGTTGCTCTAATGGAACATCCCTCAGTTTCTCATGAACGTGAACAGTCATCTTCAGCCATGACTCTTGCTTCTGTATCGCTGTCAAAACGTTCAGTGGATATTATTACGACCGCGATGAAAAGACTGGGTCTTGAAATAACTAATACTGGATCTACAAGACATAACTTTGCTAGAAGACCTGGCANTTTCTGTAATTATGAAAATATCTGTATTATGTAATGTGAAAGAAAATTAAAGTAAAAATATACTGAAAATAGTTTAAAATTTTTATACCTGAAATTAGCCTAACATGTTGGCATAGACCATATTCGTTTATAAGCTACAATATAGCAATATATTAAACAATAATACTGCTCATATTATTAATAATTAGTATTGTCTTTCCTTTATACTCTTCTTTAATTACTACTATATATTTTTTCATAATTTTTTGTACTCTTATGTTTTTCTAATATTTTCTTAAATTGAAGAGAAGAGTTATTGAATAAATGATTCGCGAAGTTCCTCTATTCAGAAATATTAGACCGGCATTTGATGGAGAAAAAAACTTGTACATTCGAAAACCGTTACCAATAAAAGACACAACAGTATTTTCTGTAAGAGTTACGGATGAGTTTAACCCCGAAAAAACAATAACATATGAAATTAAAATTAAACCTGTCAATAGGAGAGACTCAACTGATAGGTCAAATGATAATTCAATTAGTTTAGAACCATTACACGAGTTGTCAGCGGGTAGATGCAGTGATATAACAGAAAGCATTATTATGGGAATAATGGCCATAGAGACCATACTAAGACACGGTCCTGCTCTACATTTGGTTCCAGTTGGAAGATCGTTTTTCATAAAGCCTCACATGGATGAAGTTCCTCTGTTAGGTGGAGGAAGAGAAATTTGGTTTGGTCATCATCAAAGCATGCGGCTTTGTCAATGGAAGCCCATGCTAAACATTGATAAATCGGCAACGACATTTTATAGAAGCTGCTCCGTTGTTGAGTTTATGTTTGAAATATTATATCCACGAACTGAGAACTTTGAGTTGGCTGCAAGACAGATGAGAGGTCTCACGGATGCTGAAAGAAGAACACTTACAAAGAAAATGAAAAATTTAAGAGTTGAAGTAACTCATTTGCCTTATCCCCGAAAATATAGAATTCGAGACATAACAAGAGAGACTGCTGACAACACCTTTTTTATGAGAAAAATTAATAATATGGAAGCTCCTTGTTCGGTATCAGAATATTTTCGGTCCGAATACCAACCATTAAAATATCCTAATTTACCTTGTTTAAATGTGGGAAATAATAACAAAAATATCTATTTACCATTGGAAGTGTGCAATATTGTGGAAGGTCAGCACAGTAATAAGAAATTAACGGACAGACAAACTTCAGATATGATTCGCTACACGGCTCGACCTCCTGCAGAAAGGTTCAATGATATCAGACATTCTGTTAATGCTATGATGCAAGACTTTCAACCATTCTCGAGAGAATTTGGCATTCGTGTGAGTACGGATTTTCTAAAGTGTACAGGCAGAGTATTGGATCCTCCAAAAGTTATGTACGATGGAGGAGAAACCATCAGACCTTCTAACGGAAGCTGGAATATGGTAAATAAGAAGTTTTACAAAGGAGTGACAATTAAGAAATGGATGCTGCTGAGTTTCTCGAAAAATTGTTGCTGTAACGAAGGAGTGTTAATAAAATCAGCCAATATGCTAATAGAAACTGGTAGAAATGTAGGGGTAGATTTTGCAGATCCATTGGTAGTGAGAGGATTTACACGGCGTGATGGAAAACCAGGAGATATATTAAGGCAAGCTAAACAGATGGAGCCTGAATTGGAATTAGCAGTAATAGTATTACCAGCAGATAATATTTATTCTGAAGTTAAAACAGTTGCAGAAAGGGAATTAGGACTTATGACACAATGTGTAAGAGATGCAAACCTTGTGGATCGCAGAAAGTTTAATGCACAGTTCATATGTAATTTATGTCAAAACATTAATGCAAAAATGGGTGGGGTTAACAATTCATTAGCACAGGAGTACAGACCTGAAATTATGAATAGACCTGTGATGATTGTGGGTATCGATTGTAATCATCCCGCTCCTGGTGACAAAGTTGGATACTCGATCGCAGCAGTAGTAGGAAGTTTGGATGCTTATTGTGGAAAATTTAAAGCGTCCATTCGTGTTCAGCATAAGAAACAGAAAATGGGCGGACAGAGGTTTGGACAAGATATTGTTGTCGAGCTCAAGGACATGATGAAGGAACTTTTCGAGGCATTCTATAAATATACCGGAGGAAAAAAACCACAAAAAATTATTGTTTTTAGAGACGGGGTTAGCGAAGGCGAATTTCAGAAAGTGATGGATTACGAAATGAGAGAAATTAGAAAGGCGTGCGAAGAAATGGCACGTGGTGAGACCTACCGACCCCCCATCACTTTTATCATAACTGGAAAACGTCATCACACGCGTTTTCTTCCCGAAAATCGAAGAGACGGTGTGGGCAGACCGGGAAACGTTCCACCCGGCACTACAGTGGATACGGCTGTAGTACATCCCGTGTTCTACGATTTCTTCGTATGCAGTCATATTGGAATACAGGGTACCAGCAGACCAGCTCATTATACGGTTTTATGGGACGATAACGACTTCACGGCAGACGAGCTACAAGTGTTAACTTACTACCTGTGCCACACGTATGCCAGATGCACCAGGAGCATATCTATACCCTGTCCCGTTATGTACGCCGATCTGGCAGCTTTCAGGGCCAAGCAATATCTTATAAACAAAACCAAAAGTATGTCGAGTTCTGGTAGTGAAGTGTCGGAACGTGCAGAAGTAATTATTGAAGAAAGCATTAAAGAAGCCATAAAAGTGGTTGACGAAATGCAAAATAGAATGTATTTTGTTTAAGTGTTGATAAAAATCTTTATTGTATGTTTGCACGAACGTCTATTTTTGTAAAATCACTTGAGATTGTTATCATTTAACAACGTTAATTTGAAAATTTCATAGAGGGATTGTTGAAAGTTTTATATTTATATTTTTTGTAGAATTATATAATTATTTAATGAAAAAAAACTTTAGATGCACTGCAATGTAGAGTTTTAAACAATTTGGGTTTATAATGTAATAACTAAAAAAATTTCTGTAATTATGAAAATATCTGTATTATGTAATGTGAAAGAAAATTAAAGTAAAAATATACTGAAAATAGTTTAAAATTTTTATACCTGAAATTAGCCTAACATGTTGGCATAGACCATATTCGTTTATAAGCTACAATATAGCAATATATTAAACAATAATACTGCTCATATTATTAATAATTAGTATTGTCTTTCCTTTATACTCTTCTTTAATTACTACTATATATTTTTTCATAATTTTTTGTACTCTTATGTTTTTCTAATATTTTCTTAAATCCGGTTGTATTTTTCTCTTGTATATGTTTACTTATTTAAAGTTTCATTCATACCTTTAATAATTAAAATTACAATCGTTTAGTTTAGAACAGAGCATGTCGAATTTAACCCCGTAATGATTATTCACTGATATTTTGCTTATATGTTTGTCATCAGCTGTATTTACTCGCTGAACTATTTGTTGCAATTAAAATATTCATTTTTATATTGTATCTAATTAATAAATTATTTGAAGTATACAATATACATACAGACGTACGAAACATGAATATTCTTTATACAGTAAATCTTAGAGTGAAATGAGTGATTAAAAACAAAATATTTGTTTATAGTTAATATCAATTATAGAGGAAAGTGTTAGGCTTAAAACTCCACGTGGCACAGCTTCTGTGGCAGTTACACGTGATTTCACGTTACACTAACTACTGTTTACTGCTTTCGTCCAATCGGATAGGGTGGGAGAATTTTTAAGTGTTTTAAAATTATAATAATTACTATTTAATAAATAATATAGAACTGTATAGGATTGTTTACCGTATCCGAATCCAAATTCATTCCACCAATGAAAACACGTGTTTCATTAATTTGTGCAACGTTCTTTACGACGAGTTGCAGCTGCAAAGAACAGCCGATACGTTAAAATTTATATGGACAAATTTAAACACGTAATACCATGTTTTGGTGTTGCTGATACACCTTATAATTTATGTAAATCGTTCTCGTTTGTTAAATACGGTAAATATACATAAACATTTACTAAATTCAAGCTAAAAATAGATGAAAATGATGACTTATAATTGTTTGTTTACGTTTGTTACTGACAATGTATCCGTGACTTTTTCCAAGAAAGTTCCCACTTCACAAACTCAATTTGATGCTTATTCGTCAAAGGATTGTCATTTAGTTATAATATACCAATTAGAGCTGAATAGGCGGGCGAAAGAGGATTTTATTTTCCAATAAACGAAAGAAGGGTCTCCCATAGACTTAACATGGAAAGGAGCAGTTTTGAGAGTAAATTTAAAAATACGGGGCGGTAACAAATATCTTATTCGTTCAAACAGACTTAGACTATGTAAATAAAAGCTAATTAGTGCTTAAATCACCAGCATCTAATTAATTACGAAAGAATTGACACTTTCTCCAATGGTAGTACAGCGCACACAACTGGTTTAATTTTCACGTATCCTGCTACTATCAAACTACTGTAGTGTAACAGTGCAGGGATTTTTTTTTATTCTTGACAATTAAAAACCCACGTTAAAAGGTATTAAAAAGTACAATTCTTCGATCAATGTGCTAGCCACGTGACTTAGTTTTCTCGCATGTTAAACACCCATAGAAAGTTTCTCCTGGAAATAGCGGCTTATACGCTATTCAATCTAATTAATCTGCTTTATTATTGCTTAATTGCCGAAATAATTAAATTCCTCGTCGCTCTTATCCAAGGAACAGAAAAAATTTAAATAAAGTTCGAAGGAGTGTTCATATTTATTTCACGGTGTTATGCAATGTTAATTACAAGAGCAGGGGTAAAAATGATAACGGTATGGAAAAATCGAAGTAGTTCTACGTAACAGTTTACGTAACAGAAGTATGATTCATTTAGGCACGTGATATCCTGTCTAAACGTTACATTTGTTAAATAGAAAGGAAGTTTACACACTTAAAACAAATCTCATCGAATTTGAAAGGTTGGTATATTATTATTCTATTCATTTATGTAATTATAATTATACCAGTATAGTCGACCACCCTATAACACTGTTGATAATTCCGTTTTATATTAATTTCATGTTGTACGAGTCACTTAGATTTTACAAACACGTGTGCCGGGCTGTGAATGGCT